CCATTGTGAAATTTGTGGAATCTCTCCTGAGAAACACGATGATCTTCGATGAGATGAGCGTGTGTAACACCAGACAAACCAAAACCCTACTTGAAGCATCCCTCAAGGAGGAGTTTATCCAGAATACTGTGATATTTCACCGTAATCACGCGGATTCAGAAAATAAAAATCACAGGTTGTGGTCTGGTAGCATACGTTGGCGACATAACTATAACAGCGGAAGAAAAACATGCGCTAGAACACTGATTGTTGATTCAGCAAAAACTGAAATGATCCCCTATACAAGGAGACCTACTGGAGATCACTATATTATAGAGCAAACTCAACTCAACCCGAAGCATAGCAGAGAGATCGAGGAAGACAATAACTGCATACATTGGGAAAGATTGTAGTCTATATTTATATATGTATTGTCCACAGGGAATATATAGTGATAATTAGACTAATTCTATTTTTACACGAAAAAATTACTTTCGGCATGAAACTAGAGAGAATTCAGGCCATACCAGAAACTCTACTATAGACGCCCTCAAAAATCCTGGCATCTCTACTAAATTTACATCTTCCAGACCTACAGTACAACAAATTTCAAGCGAGCAATTAGTTTAAACGCAATTCGATATCAGTATAGGAGAGCTAAGGCCAACGTTAGACACAAAAAGAACAAGGCATTTAATTCATTTAGCTCCGCTTCCCATCATTGTAATAACACTACAACGTGTAGTGGAGCTTTCGGATTACTAAACTAATCATTTTGTTCGCAGTTGTTGAGACGACGTCCAGTATCTGCGTGACGAGGTTTCACAGGAATATTTTTGTCCGTATCGCGGAGTTTTCTTCAGCTAAATGTGCTGTGCTTTTTAAGCACAGTAAATGGTTCGCCCTTTTTAGAAAGTGATAGAAACATCACAGCAGTATCGCAATGCGGCTGCACAAAGCTTGAGTCATTGGTCCCTGATCAAGTGGCACACCAACTCAAGTCAATTCACGGTCCATCATAATGGGTCAACTCAGGACTACTTTTGCGCTCATCTTCCATAATATTGAATGACGTTTACCCTCTGAATTTAGACCTTTCTTATTTTCAGAATTTTCTGTAATTAAAGCAAAATTTTCAAACTTTCGAAGAGGTGTTTCATTTATTTATTTTTTTAAAGGTTCAAAAAGGTTCAAGAATTTTTTTTCTTCAACGTAAAATAGTGTGCCCTCGAGCAACTTTTAAAATATTCAAATACATTAAGAATTTTCGTTGAAATTAAGAGAAAGGAAATAAAAAATTGTACTCAAATGTCACCGAACCTGAGAAAATGCAACAGTGAAATCGTAAAGTAAAAAGTTTTCATTTGTGGAGCAATATCTTTTCATCGAAATTCTTTAATATTTCTTTCACATATAAACGTTTACGATTGCGACTGCATACATACATATACAAAAGTTGTACAACTACAACTTTATGGTCATTTTGGTAAAATTCTTATCTACAAAACTAACACCTTAGGGTATTATCAAACCACACCCACATACAATAGTATGCAACCAAGGAAAGAAAAGAAAAGTTGACCACTTCGTAGCTTAGTATTCTGAAACTTTGCCCTACATCACACATTTGTAAATACATATGTATGTATGTATGTCTATAGAGTAACTCTTCTTCCATGACAAATATACAAAGTTGCTTAAACAAACAAAAATAAATGAACATATTCGTAGCTACACCTACTCCATGTAATTTCTAGATGGGATTTGCATGTATTCGCTCCTTAGCTGCAATTAGTTCAGCAATACTTAAGTTACAATTTTTTTTTAGATATAATAACTTTTACCCATTTTACTTAAAAAACACTTTAAAAAATTACAAAAATATCAATGAAGTTATCAAATACAAATATTTTTACCTAAAACTAAAGGAAAGTTGATAGACAGACGATTATTTGACCTTACTGCGTGGTCTCACCTTCAATGCATTTCAATTACTGAATATTTTTGAATGTATTCGTATTTCTTGTTTCTTTTTACAACCATTTGGTTGATAGCTAATAGTGTGTCAGGAATTTTATTATTTTCCCTTTCACATGTCAAAGAGTCACTAAATGCCCTGAAAACTTTTCAATTAATAAATGACAATTGGGAAAACTTTCACAGCTCGAGGGTGTCATATTCATTACAAATAGTTTGATGTACTTAAGTAGTAAATGCATCCATATGTACATAGTAAGTATATATGTTTATGTGCAGTAATGTGCTTATTGGAGAGAGTTTTTAAATATATAGAGCAGTAGGTATTATGCTTCAGGGTGTATTTTGCTAATAAAGACATTCGAATTATGGTGCAAACGATTTTTAGTAATAGTTGAAAACGTACTGTAAAATATTTATTTTAATACAACTTTCATATAGTTTTCATCCAAATGAATTCTAATTTTAGTACTTAGAACAGCAGAAAAATAAAAAAATAAATATTTCTCGAAATTTATAAAAAGTTGATGAGATTAACAGCGTAGTTGATTTTTGCATTCTATTTTTTTTATTTCATTTTTTACCTATTTTTAGTTTCTTTAGTTTTTCATTCAAATCATTATTTTACTTATTTAGTTTCTTTAATTTTATTTTATTTTATCTTATGCTAATGTTTCATTTTAACTATTTTTCCTTATTTCGCTCTACATTATATTATTTTATTTTACCTTTTTTCGTTAATTTAATTAATTTAATTTTTTTTTACTTTATTTATTATTTATGTTATTTTATTAAATTTTACTTTAATTTATTTTCTTTATTTAGTCTCTTTAAATTTAATTTGTTTTGTTTTATTTTATTAAACTTTATTTTATAGTATCTCTTTCCTATATAATCTCATTTTATTATAATTTTTTTAAATTATTTTATTTTATTTTTTACCTAATATTATTTTATTTTGGTTATTTTTTGTTGTATTTTTCTTTGATTTTATTTTATTTTCTTTTGCTTTATTTCATTTTATTTTATTTTGTTTCGTTTTAATTTATTTTATTTTATTTTTCTTTTTTTTCTGGTTAATTTTATTTATTTTATTTTGCTTTATTTATTATTTATTTTCTTTTAATATAGTATTTTATTTTATTATATTTTATTTTTTTTTTATTTTATTGTATTCAACCTTATATTATTTCATTTTACACTATCTCCTTCTTATATAATCTCATTTTATTATAATTTTTTTAAATTATTTTATTTTACTTATTTTATTTTACTTATTTTATTTTATTTTTTACCTAATATAATTTTATTTTGGTTATTTTTTATTTTATTTTACTTTGATCTTATTTTCATTAATTTTGTTTTGCCTTTATTTATTTTATTATGTTTTATTTTAGTTTATTTTATTTTATTTTACTTTATTTTATGTTTTAATAATTTTTTATTTAATATTTAAATTTGTTTTATTATTTTTTTATTTTAGCTAATAATATTTCATTTTGGTTATTTTTCATTTTATTTTACTTTGATCCGTGTTTATTTAATTTTGTTTTGCTTTTATTAAGTTCATTTTATTTTATTATGTTTTGTTTTAATTTGTTTTATTTTACTTTACTTAATTTTTTGTTTTAATAATTTTTTATCTTATATATAAATTTGTTTTATTATTATTTTTATTTTATTTTTTAATTTTTATTGCCTAACATTATTTTATTTTATTTTTCTACATAATATTATTGTATTTGATTTTAGTTATTTTTTATTGTATTTTACTTAGATTTGATTTTGTTTTATGTAATTTTCTTTTGCATTTATTTATAATATGTTTATTTTATTTTATATTGTTTGATTTTATTTTGTTTATTTTGTTATTTTCTTTCTTTTTTTATTTTACACCTTTATATGAAATATAACTTTTTTTTTAATATTATTATTTACTTATGTGCTTTAATTTTATTTTAATTTCTTGCCTAGTATTATTTTATTTTAGTTATTTTTTATTGTATTTTACTTTATTTGTTTTAGTTTTATTTTTATTATATTTTACTTTTATTTTGTTGTGTTAAATTTTTTCGCTTATATTATTTTATTTTGTTTTATTTAATTTTCCTTTGATATATATTCGACTTTGTTGTATTTTTAATTTTAGTTTTATTTATTAGTTTTGTTTTTGGTTTAAGTTTTTTTATTTAATTTTATTGTATTTCACTTTTTTATCTAATATTATTTTATATTAATTATTTTTTTATTGTGTTTTGTTTTATTTAAATTTCTTCTGCTCCTATTTATATAATTTTATTTTGTGTTATATCCCTTTTTTTAATTTTTTTATTTTGTTTTATTCTATTTTGTATTATTTTTTTTGTATTGTTACTATTTTAGCTAAATTTATTTGCTTTATTCTATCGTTTTTTATTTTATTTGAGTTTATTTTATTTATTATTGGGTATTTTATTTATTTTTTTAATTTTTATTTTATATTATTTTTTTCTCTATTTTATTTTTATCACTTCATGTTTAGTTTTCCGAAACGATAAGCCAGCAATTAAAATGTATGGCCATAAATTCATATGCTGTATGACATTTATAGGCCAGGCAATAAAAATTAAAGTACAAACAGATGTCCATATACACATACTCATGATATGAATATTGATACTTGATGCCTTTACAACAACATAAGCATCTATGTATACTGATGTTCTTATCATGAATATGTAAAGCAATAAAAATTAAAACATAAGATAAGATTATCTATTCGTGGGTAATCTTCTAATGTAAACATACTTATGTACACATATGCATGCATGTAAATTTTCACATTACAAATTTATATAAATAAACGCTCTACAGATTGTGGAGTCAGTTATACTTAAACCAAGTGAAAGTAAAGTGATTTAATTCCCGCCTCAACACTTCATTTTATTTCTTTTATTTATGTACTTTGTAATTTATTGTTGTTTTATATTATTTTTACAACATTTATTTTTACTTAGCACTTGAAACATTCAAAGGGTAATTTTTTCTTCTTTTTCTACTTCCAGCGCCCGATCCACCCTCAAATCTCTCCGTGCAAGTGCGTAGCGGCAAGAATGCGATCATCTCATGGTCGCCGCCAACGCAAGGCAACTACACTTCATTTCGCATCAAGGTGCTCGGCCTATCCGGTGCTTCCAGTTCGTATAATCGCACATTCGTCGTGAATAATACATTCCAGCATAGCGTCAAGGAGTTGACGCCAGGTGCCACATATCAGGTGCAAGCCTACACCGTCTACGATAATAAGGAATCGGTGGCGTATACAAGTCGAAATTTCACAACAAGTAAGTTACGTAAAGAGGGTGAATTGAGACCAAATAAATGTTATTACTAATATGTGTTTTTATGGGGGTTGTGTGTTGGGTGGTAGATAAAAAGAAAAGAAATTAATTCATTTCAAATAAAAAACGCTTTTGCTATAAAAAAAATATAAAAGTTTCTGGTGTTGGTTTCACGTTTTGGTTTTTATTGTGTTATTCACTAAAAAATTGTTTTTACCATTTATTTTATGGTTATTATTATTATTATTATTATTGACAATTGTTGCTAAGCACATACATACATAATATTTAAACAATGTGTTAACCTCTATACAAAAACTCTCTGCTAATTACTCACACAATTACGCTGCTAAAAAAGGTAGAAGGACGCGACATAAAGAATTGCTGGATATAAAGATTCTGCGAGGTAACCGAAAATTTCGAAATTTGCACTAATTTAAACTTATCTAAATGTATTTAGCTCATGTGTGTGGGATATATATACACACAGCAATATATTTATACTGATTTGAATGGCTTAATGTATACTTTCAATATATTCTCTGTACTCGTATGCAGTTCAATCACTATTTTTTTGCACTGTATTTAAGCACAAAATAATTATTGTTTAGAAATATCTAAATATCTATACTTAAATATATATGTATTTATTAATATGACATGGAAATAAATTTGACAGCCGAATTTTCGAAAAAAAAACCGTAATTAATTATTTTATAGAACTTTTATCTTATTCGCATACTTTTTCTATTTAAGGTCGCACTAAATTACCATATTGTATTTAATTTTTTATAAATTCTTAGAACACGATTTGGGTTTTCTGAAAAGAAGTATTTTTTTCTACATGGTTTTAATAATGTTTTTAGCTTAAAACTGAATTTCATATCTAGATTACCCAGTTATCATCCATAGCCTTCAAACTTTTAGATTTGAATTAAGTGAAGTCTAGCTTTACTCTTTTGTACACAACCTATGAAAAGAACAAATGGTCGGTTAGTGAACATCATCACAACCCTCACTCTCTCAGCGTCTCATACCTATCTCCCAAATAGGAAAGAGTTCATTTTTTGTCTCAACTTTTAATCAGTTGCGCCTCCTAACGCCTCCTCATCGAATGGCAGCAACCACCACTTGTAGAAATTGCTCTTTATTACTCGAGAGAGGACTTTACTTTTCAACAGCTTACTCAATCTAAAAAAGCACCTCATGGCAAAGTAATTCCGCTGATATTATTATTATTTTTACTGCTGGTTCTTGAATAGAGTAAATTGTCTTAAACTTCAAATTTTTAACTGTCAACATTGACATGGAAGCCAGGACATGAATGTGCAGACTGCTAGTTTGATGACACATTCGTTTCGCTTCTTTCTCCAGTCTTCAGTCTGAATGAAGCAAAACTAACCGCACGGCTCTTGAGGAGGCATACTCCATCAGTTATAGGCTCTTATAGAAGATGGTAGCTTGCCTGTTTAACTCTGTAGCTCGTATTATTCTTTCCAGCTTTGGTTAAAGGACTTCTAATGTAATAAGTAAGCTAGTCCGAAACCTCGTTTAATAATCTCGGATGTGCTTCCAGATATTGCAAAGCTTATGATATAGACATCCGACACTTCCGACAGTTTACAGAACCGTATAAGATTTTGGGGAGAGGCAAATACAGACACCGGAGTTGTGTCACTTGTTTTCCTCTTTCGAACGCCGCTTTCAAAGCGATGAACAGGTGATGTGTGTTAACCCAATCGATGGTCTTTTACTTTAATTGGGGCTTGATGAATATCTGCCCTCGTGGGATTTAATATTTAACAGAATACACCAGATAATAGCATAAACGAGTACACGATACTAAAGAGGCTTATCTAACAGTAATTGTCATAAACTGTAGGGTTTCCCTTCAGTGGATTGAGCAAGGCACATTCTGGTTGCAATTATAAGGCCATATTTCGTCCAAACTTATTCTACAAAGAAGTTGAGCAGTGCACCTTGCCAGTTATGGGTCACTATAATTGAGTAACTCAACCGGCGGGACGCGGCTGCTTTGTTATTCTACATTAACTTCGTCATAGTCAAGTGACGAAAGTTAATGGACGTTCACCACCGGCATCGGTATTCTGATTCATTAGTAGCAGTAGTGTTCTTGCCATAAACTCAGTATGCTCTTGACATTGGTCCCCAGATTACCTTCTTGGTTACTACTTAATCCGACCTCTAGTATTTTGAGTACCACTTTTGCATGCTTTAATTATTAACTTATTATTAGTAAAGAAAATATATACTATATATATATATATATATATATATATATACTAATACCTTTCATACGCATATATTTATATACTCGTAGACTATTTAATGTTTGACTGTTAACCGTTTGTAAATTGCTATTAACTCAAATCGCCACAAAGCTGCGCTGTTCTGCTTTGCTTAATACTTTTAACCGCATTTGTTGTAACCCGCATTTGTTGTAACCCGCATTTGTTGTAACCCGCATTTGTTGTAACCCTGTATCTATATAGATCTGTGTACATTGACTTTACATTGACTTCAAAGCATTTCTCACCTTTTCACATTCTTATTTCCTTCATTGTTTTGTTTACTTCATCCCCACAAAACTCTGACACCGAACAACAGAACCGAATACTCCCGGAAAATTCATTGTGTGGTTCCGCAATGAGACCACGCTACTTGTGTTGTGGCAACCACCATATCCCGCCGGCATCTATACACATTACAAAGTCTCTATCGAACCACCGGACGCGCTGGAAAGTGTTTTGTATGTAGAGAAGGAGGGTGAACCACCTGGCCCGGCGCAAGCGGCCTTCAAAGGTCTAGTGCCCGGTCGTGCTTATAATATATCCGTACAAACAATGTCCGAAGATGAAATCTCCCCACCGACAACCGCCCAATATCGCACTGTACCCCTGCGACCGTTAAATGTCACATTTGATAAAGATTATATAACATCAAACTCGTTTCGTGTTCTTTGGGAAGCACCAAAAGGTATATCCGAGTTCGACAAGTATCAAGTATCATTGGCCGCCTCGCGCAGACAATCTACGGTGTCACGAAATAATGATCCGATCGCCTACTTCGATTTTCGTGATGTTACCGAACCGGGCAAAACATACAATGTGATCGTGAAAACCGTTTCGGGCAAGGTGACCTCATGGCCTGCGGCTGGCGATGTAACGCTACGTCCACTGCCTGTACACAGTTTACGTTCATTCAACGATGACAAGACAAATACGATGCGCATCACCTGGGAGCCAGATCCAGCAAGCACACAGGATGAATATCGCATTGCGTAAGAGACAGGGTTGATATTTTTAAACTTTATTTTATTTGAATCTGTATCTTGTATCGCAGCTATCATGAGCTGGAGACTTTTAATGGCGACACCAGCACTTTTACCACCGATCGCACGAGCACAACTTTGGAGAGTCTGCTGCCGGGTCGCAATTACTCGCTGTCCGTGCAAGCCGTCTCGAAGAAAATGGAATCGAACGAGACGACAGTCTTTGTCGTTACCCGTCCGTCTTCACCTATTATAGAGGATTTGAAAAGCATACGCACAGGTCTGAATATAAGCTGGAAGAGTGACGTGAACTCTAAGCAGGAGAAATATGAGGTGCTCTACTCCCGCAATGGCACTTCCGAAGTGCGCACTATAGACACAAAAGATTCACGCTTAGTCATAGCCAATTTGTATGCTGGCGCTGGCTACGAGGTGAAGGTGTTCGCCGTCAGTCATGGCTTAAGAAGTGAGCCACATGCATACTTCCAAGCTGTCTGTGAGTAAAATTTGAAAATTCAGTAATTTACGGTAAAAAAAATTAAATAAAAAATTGATTTCTTTTGATCTATCACAGTTCCCAACCCACCACGCAACATGTCCATTGAAACCGTGCGCAGCAACTCTGTCTTAGTGCATTGGGCACCACCGGAAAATAGTGATTTCACTGAATACTCAATGCGCTATCGCACCGAAACCAAGGAGCAATGGATTAACTTACCCAGCGTACGTTCAACGGAGGCAGATATTACCGATATGATTAAGGGTGAGAAGTACACCATACAGGTGAATACGGTGAGCTTTGGAGTAGAGAGTCCCAATCCACAAGAAGTTGTCTACACGGTGCCACCAAATGAGGTCTCGAATATTATACCTTTGGTGGACTCACGCAACATCACATTGGAATGGCCGAAGCCCGAAGGACGCGTGGAATCTTACATACTAAAATGGTGGCCAACGGAAAATCCTAGCAAAGCGCAAACAAAAACTGTAACTGAGAATAAATCAGGTAAGTTAAATTATAATTAAGAAATTTTGAAAGTTGTTATTCTCAATCAAACAAATTTTCCACAGATGAGTCCTCCACAGTGCGCGTTTTGATTGGTGAGCTAATGCCTGGCGTGCAATACAAGTTCGACATACAGACCACCTCGTATGGCATCTTTTCACGCACCACACACCTTTCCACGCGCACCATGCCGCTCATACAATCGGAAGTGGTGGTTGTAAATGATAGACAAGAAGACGAGCGCGACACCATCACACTCTCCTATACACCCACACCACAGTCCTCCTCGAAATTCGATATCTATCGTTTCTCACTTGGCGATCCCGAGATAAAGGATAAAGAAAAGTTGGCTAACGATACGGATCGAAAAGTCACATTCACAGGTCTGATACCTGGTCGTTTGTATAACATCACAGTTTGGACTGTCAGCGGTGGCGTCTCCAGTCTGCCCATACAACGACAAGATCGTCTCTTCCCCGAACCCATCACACAATTGCATGCCACCAATATCACAGATACGGAAATCTCACTCAAATGGGATATACCAAAGGGTGAATACAATGATTTCGATGTACAGTATTTAACGGCCGACAATATACTTGCACAAAACATAACCACACGTAATGAGATAACGATCACCGATCTACGTCCCCACCGCAATTACACATTCACTGTGGTCGTGCGTTCGGGCACCGAATCGTCGGTATTGCGCAGCAGTTCACCACTCTCGGCAAGCTTTAGTACAAATGAAGCGGTACCGGGGCGTGTTGAACGTTTCCATCCGATCGATGTGCAGCCGAGTGAAATTGTTTTCGAATGGCTGCTGCCTTCAAGTGAAGCGAACGGTATTATACGCCAGTTCTCCATCACGTATATGAATGTGAATAATGCTAGCGAGATGCGCACGCAACAATTCGAATCGGTTGAGTCTACGGGCACCATACGCAACTTGAAGCCAGGAGAAACGTATATTTTTAAAATACAAGCGAAAACGTCGGTCGGTTATGGTCCAGAACGAGAGTTTAAACAAATCATGCCGATTTTAGCGCCACCACGTCCAGCAACACAAGTCGTACCCACCGAAGTCTATCGCAGTTCGCAGACAATACAGATACGTTTCCGCAAGAACTATTTCTCCGACCAAAATGGGCCGGTGAGTAGAATTTAAAGTATAAATAAAATTTCCAGGGCTTCTTCATCAAAATTTCGTCATTAAAATACCTACCACAAAATGTTGCCTACAATCAGGCTCAAATGTATATTCTAAGCTCGTTCAGAAAATTCATTTTTCTGAGAGTTTATGCTTCTAAGAGCTTGCAGAATCAGACCTTGAATCTCAACTAAATAATTTGTAAGATTTCATACTTTTCTTCAATTTCCAAAATATGTATTTTGCAGCATAGTTTTTGGGGCATTTTTCCAATCATCATAAGAGCGTGACATTTTAGCGGAGTTAGTTTTGGAGAGCTGAAATTTATGCGGCTTCAATGACATATTCAAAAATAAGGTGTGAACTAATCAAATTGATGTGACTCTGCTTTATAAAACAATGCCTACAATTAGGCTCAATTTTACAGTCGCAATTCTTCATGCCCATATTATACGTGTCCAAAATTCTTAAAGTTTTAAATCTTTGTTTAATTAAAAAATAATAATGTTGCGCAAAAACCTTTGGTTCTTTGTTATACGAGATAAAGCTTAAATCGAACTCGGAATGTAGTAGTCGTTAAATGACACGTCAACGTTTTTTACACACTTTAATAGAGCTCTTTTATCTGACTTGAAACTTCTTCGAGTTCTCTGAATATCAATAGAATAAAATTTCTGCATGAGTCCCTGTTATTAATGCTCATATCATACGCACGTGCCGACATTAGGTTCGGACCTGTCATTAACTCTAAAATCGTTGTGCAGTCCTTTCGTCACCGCTTGAGAATAAATTCGATGTACTCTCCTTCGCTGGCTTTACTCATGGTATTAGTGATTTGCTGACGGTCACCCTGATTCGCCTTCTAACTTCCAGTCAAATTATTTGTATAGAGTCTTTATGCCCGCCCTAGCCGATGCACTGGTGCACTGCACCTAAGAATATTTTCTGACTTAAGGCTGTGATGGTGAAATTATAGCTGCAATTGCTGTCAGATTGTCCAAACAAATCTCCCACTGTCAAATATTGTAGTAATTTGGCCTTTGTTGTCTGAAGTTCTGCCCAGCAGCATCCTTATAAATGTCGCAAGTTAACTTGGTAGCTTTTTTCACATTAAAAAAAAAAACGAATAAAGAATTCTTTTGGGGCATATTGCAGCTTTAAGGGCAACCGATAATGTATACATATATCCACTGTTAGACCGAACCTTACATATGGATCGCTCATTATGGGGCCAGCATTAGAGTAGTCTCCGCAAGGGACAGGAGCTAGTTAATCATGAACTACGCTTAATACGTTACTGCATCAATGGTCCATAGATATCTTCTTTCGTAATTCAGACTTGGAGAGTAAGAATGTTGAAATCAAAACCCTACCATAGGGTAGAAAGGTGGAACCTGAAACCACCCAACCGGGTTCAAATTGTGCTGGGGGTGAGAGTACACCCCAATGATTTTCACATCTCCCTCTCTTCGCGCCCACCCCCTAAGCTAGCATCTTCCAAATGGAGCAGTAAACATAGAAAGTGCCTATAGATGACCAGCAAAGAGCTCGAGTTCCAATTTGAGCTCAGAACAAATCCATATTTAGCTGTAAAATATCCGAACAGATTGCCCCAGATGTAACAGAATAGGAACTTAAAACTTATTAAATAGATCTAAGAAAAGTATACTTAGAGTTTCAGGCATAAAACAAGGGTATTTACTCCTCGGAGCAAAGAGCAGTGCTTATGGAACATATAAATGTATAATTGGCGATTTGTAGCCGCAGAAGCGATTTTCAGTCGAACTATTTCTTTAATTTGTGGCAAGGGTTTTTATGTTTTTCCAACAAATTGAGGGACCTACAGTTTATACTAAGTCGCCTACGAACGGCTGAGGGTTTCTTTTGAAGAGTCTTTTTCCATGTCAAAAATACACTCAGGAGGATTGGCATTTTTTGCCGAAGGGCGACCAGAATCTGAAAAATTAACTAAGTTTTGTATTGAAATTAATTTTCTTTAATTTTTGGATGTTGGTCGGACCAGAACACGAACCCCGGCTTTCCGACTTGTTGAACTATAGCGGAAAGTATTGGCGGATTCACTTGAAGTCGGCAATCTAGTGGATTTTGTTCATATGCTATTCTTCGCATTGCCGATTGGTAGTAGATTGAGTAGAGTTTCGTGCGTCGCGCGTCGCTGATGGGGATAATATTCATGTAGCGCCCAGCACATTTTTGTATGCATAAAAGGTCACAGTACACATGTACGAGTATGCAAGTCCTGTTCGGTTACCTGTTGGGCAGTAAATATTACTAAATTTTAAAATTCCCACCGAACAGTATAGCTCTGAGTTTCATTTTTTTTTTTAATTAAGTGGCAACCCTATCTGAAAATATATCCGAATTTATTTTATTTAAACCTTTATTCGAAGAAATATTAAATAATTTCCATCTCATTTGAAATACAATATATTGAATTAAGAATTTTTATTCTATTTCATTCTAATTTCTTTAAACTAAACATTTAACTCATCCTCATTAGGTTCGCTGGTATACAATTATCGTCGCCGAGGATGATACGAAGAACGCATCTGGTCTCGAGATGCCCAGTTGGCATGATGTACAGTCCTACAGCGTATGGCTGCCATATCAAGCGATCGATCCTTACTATCCCTTTGAGAATCGTTCGGTAGAAGATTTCACTATTGGCACGGAAAATTGTGAGAATCGTAAAATAGGCTACTGTAATGGACCACTCAAATCGGGCACCACATACAGAGTGAAAGTGAGAGCCTTCACGGCGCCGGATAAATTTACAGATACCGCCTATAGCTTCCCAATACAAACCGGTGAGTAGGGTGAAAATATTTCTTAGTCAGAAAAAAATATGTAAAACTATGCCGGAGGCTAGCTCATATTACGCCAACAAGTTATGTAAAGGGATGTTTTTTTTTTGACATGTGATTAATAAGAGCAAATGGAACGTATATAATTCAATGTCATAGATAATGGTGATGGCTTGCATTTGACCGACGCGACTGACTCCAATAAATTACAGCCGAGAAGCCCATTTTTTGACCAATTTTTGCAGGAATTCGGGCCGTATGTCCGCAATAACGATGAATATTCTCTTCCAAGGCCAGTCAAGCGACCTCACATAACCCCTCATAAAATAGTTCAGCGGAGTTAAAGAGTTTCCTTCTATAAATTGATTGTTTTGTTGACTAAATGGCATGTAGCGCCGTTCAGTTGGAACTAAAGGTCGACCACATCAACATTTTCCAATTCAGGCACGAAAAAGTCATTATACATGGCTCAATAGCGTTTCCGTATCATTAAAACCAACGAATCCCTCCTCCCAGAAAGCACACTAAACAGTTACTTTTTGAAGATGTAACGGTGACTCAACAATGGTTAATAGATTATTAACGCACCCATTCAACTAAAAGTGAGCTGCATCGCTGAAAAAAATTTCTTTTGAAAATCGAGCTCGGTGGCCGTGAGGATCGTTCTGCTGAAATTCTTGCACGAGCTAGATTTTTTAGGTCCGGAAACCAAGATTCTTCCGCAAAATCTTCCATAATGTGGATAGGTACAGCTGCAATAATTGTGCCCTTTGGCGGATGGACTCATAGGAGTCTTCTACGATACTCTGTTGAGGATGCGCATTAACCACTAGAGTAAACATGCTACGAAACTGGCCGATCGATGCTTGCTCGAATAACCGACTCTGCTGGACGATTGTGTCGACCGAATATTGGACGCAGCGGTCAATGGGTAGCGCGAACCCAACCCTTATTTTTATATTAAATTAGCACGATTTGTAAATGTTGTTCCGGAACAACGTCTTTTATTATGAAATGGCAAACCAAACTGAGTATAAATCAAAAATCACAACTATTTAAAAGTCTCCAAAAAAATATTACCTCATCGAAAACAACCTATCTTAAAAGAAAAACACCCTTTATAATGACTTCAACAAGAGTATGATTGCATTTTACTGCATAACTTCAGGCGCTGTAAATCCTTTGCATAGAATGTTTGTAAAATTAGTTAGCTTAATAGTTATTATTATGAACTTTAAGACTTTTTTGAATGAAATTTACCTAAAAATAATTAACTTTACTCTTACACCATGTCTAACATAAAAACAAAGATCTATTAGTCTTACCTGGTAAGTAGGACTGAGTGTGGTTTGCACTCAAATATTAAATCATCTCCCACTAAATTCAAGTAAAATCCATTGTAAATCTCGCTTTTTCATCTTCACCGCAGATCAAGACAACACATCACTGATAGTCGCCATCACCGTGCCACTAACCATAATTTTCGTCCTACTCATCACATTATTCGTATTTAAGCGTCGTCGCAATAGTTGTCGCAAAGCAACTAAAGACTCACGCGCTAACGACAATATGTCCCTGCCGGATAGTGTTATCGAGCAAAACCGTCCGATTTTGATAAAGAACTTCGCCGAACACTATCGCCTCATGTCCGCCGATTCGGATTTCCGTTTCAGCGAGGAGTTTGAAGAGTTGAAGCATATCGGCCGCGATCAGTCTTGTACCTTTGCCGATCTACCCTGCAATCGTCCCAAGAATCGTTTCACCAACATATTACCCTACGATCACTCACGTTTCAAACTGCAGCCGGTCGACGATGACGAGGGTTCCGACTATATCAATGCCAATTATGTGCCCGGACATAACTCACCGCGCGAATTTATTGTTACGCAAGGACCGCTGCATTCGACACGCGATGATTTCTGGCGCATGTGCTGGGAGAGTAATTCACGTGCCATTGTCATGTTGACGCGCTGCTTTGAGAAGGGACGCGAGAAATGCGATCAGTATTGGCCCAATGATACGGTGCCCGTTTTTTATGGCGACATCAAAGTGCAAATACTGAATGATAGTCACTATGCGGACTGGGTAATGACGGAATTTATGCTGTGCAGGGTAGGTTAACTACTTAAAATAAATTGCCACCAATTATGAATAATTTTATATAATTTTTGTTTCCTTGAAACAGGGCAGCGAACAACGCATTATGCGTCATTTCCACTTTACCACTTGGCCTGATTTCGGCGTACCAAACCCACCACAGACTCTGGTGCGTTTCGTGCGCGCCTTCCGCGATCGCATTGGCTCTGAGCAACGTCCGATTGTGGTGCACTGTAGTGCGGGCGTGGGTCGTTCCGGCACATTTATAACTCTGGATCGCATTCTGCAGCAGATAAAGACGTCCGATTTTGTCGATATCTTCGGCATTGTCTATGCCATGCGCAAAGGTGAATTTTTTGCAAAGATTTTCGATTAAATTCCGTAGTTTATTAAATTTTTTTAACTTAATTACACAGAGCGTGTTTGGATGGTGCAAACGGAACAGCAGTATATCTGCATTCATCAGTGTTTGTTGGCTGTGCTTGAGGGTAAGGAGAATATTGTGGGTCCTGCGCGAGAAATTCACGACAATGAGGGCTACGAAGGTAAGCCGTTTGTTTTTTTTTTATTTATTTATTTGTTCTCTTTTGTGATTTGAACTAATCAGCTTAAAGACTGTAATATTTCAATAGTTTTTGTTTTGGTTTTGGTTTTGTTTTTGGTGGAAGACCTAAAAGCGCTTTTGAAAAGATATTTTTAATTTTTTTTTTCTGACTGTGTCATGTGTTAAGTTTGTTGAGAAGCTCGATATCTTCAGTACTTTTGGCAAATTGGCCGACTTGGGCGGCACGGAACACCCTTGGTGTGTTTCAAAGATGTCTTATCGACCGTTAGACTCACACTTTCACTGTCCAGTTTTAAAGGTGCTTCTAGTGCGGTATGTGAGCGTAGCCCACCAGAAAGTAGGGCGGGAATGATGTCCCCTCCCCATTATTGTTTAACTTCTACATTACGAAGCACTATCCTCCATTAGAAGGGGTTTCCTTTGCCTCATATCCCGCAGGATGATTCTTGTTCGAAAGTAAACGACTATCTCGACGACCACTGCTTCACTGCACGACAACTAAAATTACAGCCGACCAAATCCTCGGCTACCTTTTCCACCAGCTGAATGAAGGAATACAGGCTCGAACTTAATGTTATGGTAGATTCCGACCACAAACAACTCAAATTTACTGGGAGCCACATTTGACAGCCTGTGCTCCTTCACAGAGTTGCAATAACGTCGTCAGGCATCTAATACAGCAACACGTACAACAACTGCTAGAGAGGACGGCGTGCGGACATACACTAAACGACATTCACCAGGAATCAGTTAACATCTTTGAAAACCCCCTCCCTATGAATGGAGTTAAATCACAACTCATAGCGAACGGACAGCGAGAGCCCCCCCGTAATACTGGCGCAACTTATGTGTAGTTATTGTAGCAGATTAAACTCCTACTTATGCGGACAACATACATACGGCAACCAACGCATGTCCAGAAATTACATTACATTACATTAGTATTAGTTCTCGTTTCTAAGGAAAAGAAACAGTCTACAACATCAATGCCGTGTCACAGTTCTTCTACAGGTTTGTGCTGAGATTCGTATCCCACATAAGACGTCTAACAATACCAAAAAGACTTGGAAGCCGTACAATCTTTTGCATATATGTGAGCTCCAAATTAGTTGTAAATCAAGGTAAACACCAAGCTTCCGGCCTTCTCGACATTCTGTATCCCTAACAGTGCAAGATTAATTGTAATAAAGTTCCCTCTTTTCCATGGAGAACAGTCTTATTGGGTTTTTAGTCTCAACATTGTTTGGCAAATCGGACTTTCAGATAAGACTCAACACTGCCGGGGACGTAGACACTCCTGCGCAGACCAATACAGAATTCGAGGGGACCAAAAAAGTAGGCTCTCTGCACAGGGATTTTTAAAAGACCGCAAAACCAACGCTTTTATATTCTCCACCAAAACTAATTCACTAACAAATTATTTAACTAATTATTTGTTTACGGTCACATTTATGTTTTTGAATTTTTTTCACGCGAAAGCTAAGAAGGTGTCGGGTTTTACGCTGTAACTAACAAACAAATACGTAATTTTCTTCTTTTTCACAACTGCGAAACGTGGAACGCGAACCAAATGCTTCACCCTTCACCCCATCCATCCATCCATCCATACATAAATCGACATACAAATATTTACACACATACATACATACATTTATTTACAATTAACACATCCGCATACGCACAAATGCTTTCAATTAACTCCGCACTGCGTGGACGCGTTCTGACGTCTGGTCCCTCCAGAACAAAAACAACAACTGGATGAGAACGGTGAAGTCATCGCTACCATCGAAGGTTATGATTTGCAGCCGGAAGAGGCGGAGGAAATCGACAATGAAAATGCTGCCATTATACACGACGATCAGCAACCGTTAACTGGCTTCGGCGGCGCAGCACATAACAACTCAATGACGTCGTCCTTCAGTGGTGCCGCACATATGTACAGCGATGCCTCGTCGACGGACAGATGACATTCGATTAGCCAAAACGATAACAACAACTCTGTGGTTATCGTTTTGGTGGATAATAAACCCAGTTCGATGATCTGCAAAGAGGGCGCCATCGATGTGATCAGCATCGGCGGCAATGTCGTGCACACAACCAATACGCTGGGTGGTGGCGTTGGTAATCATCATCACCATCATCATCACAATAACACCAATGGCGGCAACAACTCCATGAACGGTCACCACACACTCCAACATAGACGCAAGTCACAGCTGATCACATTCAGCGCCTCATCCTGTGATATTAAGAATAGTCTCAGTCATGAGATCATACTTGTTAATAGCAATGGAGGCGGTAATAACAGTGGCAGCAACGGCGTTGGTCCCATTGGTGGTGGTCCACGCGGCAGTATAGTTGGCAGTATTAGCAATAACAGCGCTGCGATCATTAGCAATGGTAGCGCCGGCAGCGGCGCTAGCGCTGGTGGCGCAAATATGCGTCTGAGTTTCGCAGAAGAGGATATAATGATTGTAACAAATGGCAACCGCAGCGGCGGTGGTAACGGTGATGGCGGCAGTGCTGGCTGTGGTTCAGCTTCGGTTTCCGGTGGCTCGGGTCACAGTGCGGGTTCCGGTTCCGGTTCCGGCTCCGGTTCAGGCAATGATGGTGATCTCGATGATGATGTTTTCCATCGACGCTCACTCGATGTCGATGAGGAAGAGGAAGCAGACTTAGAGGAGGAAGAGGAAGATGATGGCCTCTTCGACGACGTCTATGGCACACACATAGATGTGCCACACAATGCGAACGACGATAGTGGCGGCGGCAGCTATGAGGACTCACATGCCATGCACAGCTCATTGGCTGGTAGCAATCGCAATAGTTTGGAGAAGGACGATGATGACATTGATGCGGATGTGATCAGTACCGATGTTAGCTGTTATGATCAGCTGTTGGGCACAAGTTGTAATACACGCAATGATGAGGATGAAATTGCGACACTGGTTGGTGAAGGCGAAAGCTATACGAAACTATGTAAAGGCGGTGTTAAGGGCACGACCACGTTGAATGGTGTTGGTAGTGGTGTTGGTGTTGGTGAGAACGGTGGCATCATATACGCCAATCCGTTTTTGGGTTTGTAGCATATTTTCAGTATATTTATTGTATATATTGTTGTTATTGTTGCTTGTTAGCTTAAATGGTTTTCGTTTCATGTATTTATAATTGTTGTTGTTATTTTTTATGCTTCTAATTATTTTTGTTAAAAAAAAAAAACAAAATAATGAGTTTTAGATTTAAGTGCGGTGACGTAGCTCGAAAATTATAGTTTTTTTAGACTAAATTCTATTCAAATAAATAATTTGGCAACTTTCAACGTATTGAGATGCTCTGGTCGAAATGTTCACTTTCCAGTTAAGCTTTTATTTTTATTTATTTAAAAAATACAGTAAAACAACTAAATTGAATTATCCAATTAAACTTTGAAGGTTATCAAAAAAAAAAACGTTAATAAAATGAGTTAAAATTTTTTATATATTTTTTATATATTTTTTATATACTTCCTCCCTTCCCATTATAAAACTTTAGCCTTGGTATTATATGTAAAACGCTTAGTCATTCAAATGACCGCGCCTGGAATCGCTTAAGGTAATTTTCTACCATTTTTGGGCATATATTGGACCATATCTCAGCCATAACCGACGAATGTTGACTTTCAAGTGTCCAAGAGTTAAAGGCATACGGCAGTCTTTCGTTTAGCCCCACAAGAATCTCATTGGCCAATTGACATCGCCAAGACGAGAGTTTATGCCACCGCGAAATTTCTGGAATTTCTCTCACAATTAAGCCATATTCGCTCGAGTTGTATAGCAAGTAAGAAAATGCCAGCTCTTGAGAACGTCGAAAAATAGACACATTCACGGCTAAACTTCCCTTACAGTCTCCATATTTCTGTCAAATTTTACCAATTGTTTGAATGATTGGACGCTTATGTGCACCATAATCTACTCTTAAGGGGTTGCATCTAGTTAGGGGCCCTAAAAAATTAGGCTCTTCAAACTTGTATCTCTATTATTTTGAACATTTGTACATATATTATGGCACCTTTGAAGAGTAGTTAACAATTTTTTATTCATAAAAATAACAGTTTTTGAAGCTGCTACAGCAGATCTCCAGAGATCCCTACCGAATAAAGCGTTTTGCGGTGACCATTGTATTTTTGAAGTGAATCATCTGAAATGAAAAAATCAAACGGTTTTCGTTAAAGTAATGTATAATCTTGTGATTAATCGAACAAATAAATAAGTATAATTTTTTTCACGAAATTGCGGCTTCTTAAAAAAAATTCAATATTCCTCCATAATTTTGGTCTTGAATGGCACATTAAAAATACAATATTGTAATCGGTAATGGAATGGAATGGAATTAAGTACTAGAAGACATTGTTCAGAACGCCGTGTAAAAATTTGAGCCTTAAACGGTTCAGAGAAATTTAGGTGACCGACTTTAAAAACATAGTTTTTAGAAATATGAGGTTAACGTTAACTTTTAAAATAACTGTCGGATCGAATTGAAATTTTCAGAATATTAACTTGAATATGTGCATTACGAAAAAAAAAATAAAAAAAAAAATCGATTTTTTGAAAATTCTAACTATATGCAACCGCTTAAATCCGGGCTGCTCTAAAGAATTAAATTTTTTTTTTTTTTTGTAAATTGCTAGAAAATACTCTTAAAAATAATATTAAATTAGTCACGAAGATCCGCAAGGCCAAGAAATATATATGGAATGAGGAGAGCGGAGCGCGCCAAACGGTAAATCTGGCCGTTCGAGTACTTCAATCGACTTTTTCTCGAAACCACGGCATTTTCTCTTATTCTTATTTAGAGCCTGCCAAGCTTATTAACATGAACTAAACGGCATTTTACTCTTAAAATGACTCCCTATGGTTGGTACTACAATCAAAAATATTGATTGGTATTTTAAAAAATTTATAAACGATTAAAATTGAAAAAAGAGTAAAAAAATGAAAAGTCAGCCTTTTTTTTTTTTTTTGTGAAAATATTTTATTGCAGTTCCTGCCATAGCCAATGTGATACAGAATAGGATTGGATTTTTGCTTTCAAATAAATTTGAATTGAATTTTATGACCTTAACCTAAATTGTATTTTGAAATTTGCAGTTATGGGGTCACTCACCAACAAATAGGACGTGTTTCAGCAGCAATTTTAATTTAAAAAAAATCAATCAATATTTTTATACATTTACTTATCTACAAATAGCTTTGATTCATAAATATATTTTTTAAATAAATTATTTTTTTTTAAATCACTTTTGTTTTGGAGAACCCTGGCAGGAAACGTGTAACGTATGCAACACCATTTTTGTAGTAGGTTTCGAAAATTTTAACGGGTTGAACTTTACAGTTAAGTTTGACAGATGCCAAAATACAGCACTGTATTTTTGAAACCTTGAAATTAATAACCTTATACAATGTATGCATATACAGCCATGGTCACGCAAATAGCACAAAGTGTATCATACGAGAAAATGTAACTCTTCTGAGGAACATAACGGTATTTTTCTGAATAAAAAAATGTATAATAGTTACTTATGTTATCTAGTTTACAGTGCGTTTCGTACATTCCCGCTATCCTGGCAATCATATTTTTTTCGTCGATTTATCTGATCGAGCTATTAGTTAGTGGTGGTCACGCAAATAGCACAGTCATCGGTTGGATCTTGAAAGTATCTTTTTATTTATTTTTAGTGAGATTTAAATACATTTAAAGTTCAGTTCCATCAAAATTTACGCAGATTGAACTAAAATGGGTTGCGGTAAACACTGTACTCCTTAAAAAAGAATCATTATTCATAGCATGGCTAAGACAGGAAAAAGTGTTTCAGAAATTGCAGTTTTCTGGAATTATTCCCGTAAAATAGTACATAATGTCTTTAAATTGGTTCAAGAGAGTGAAGATTATCTATCTCAAGACAAATCCAAGGCACCTGCTCTGCGCAAGACAGCGATTTTTGAAGACAGAGCCAAAATACGAAAAAAGAAGCTAGATCCTTTCAAATTTTCTAGGCTAAAAATGCTGAAAATAAACGAAGAATTCGATTTGACTATATGAAGAAGCCATGTCGGAAGGCGTTTAAATAAGAGCCAGCTCTTTGGACCCAATACCCGCAAAAAACCACTCCTGTCAAAACGGCATATAGAAAAACGGTTAAAGTTTGCTAAGACGCCTGAGAACCAGGCGATAAGATTTTGGAATAATATGTTATGGACCGATGAAACTGAAATAAATAGAATGGAACCGGATGGGAAAACCACATTTCATCGCCAAAGAGGTCAAGATTTGAATCCTAGGTATAATAAAAAGACCATAAAACATATAGGCAGTAATATCATGATTTGGGGGCATTTTCCTGGCATGGCGTTGGACCGATTGTGCGTATAAATGGAAAAATAGACAAATATAAATATCTGGACATCTTAAAGAATGAAATGGAACGATTTGTATTTGACTCCATGCCACTTAATTGGACTTTTATGCAGGATAGTGATCCTAAGCATACCGCGAAGGTCACACAAGATTGGCTTAAGAAGGAAAATATTCGTTTTTTGGATTGGCCTCTGCAAAGCCCAGACCTAAACCCAATAGAAAATTTATGGAACGATGTTAAAACAAAATTATCTGCAAAAAATTCGATGATTTGTGGGAGGACGTCAAGGGATAGTGGTACTCCATACCAAAAGAAAAATATGAGAAACTTGTTGAGAGCATGGGACGCAGATGTGAAACTGTTATTAAAAATCGTTGATATACTACCAAATACTAATAGATAAGACCTACTTAAGACTAATAATGCTATATGATCTGGCATATGTGAACTTAAAATTACAAGTTTTGCAAAATGTGCTATTTGCGTGACCAGATAATTTCATTAGGAACCTCAAACTTTCAATTATTTTAAACTTTCATTGAATTATTATTAAGTTTTTTTATAAAGGTTGTGTTAAATAATAACTGAGTGAACACATCGTTACAATATTTTCATATTTTAAGCACCGATATCATTTTGTTTCATTATTATGTATCGGAAGGAAAGTTGTGCTATTTGCATGACCATGGCTGTATGTAGTAAATGTAAGGAATAAAAATTTGGTCGACCAACATCCAAAAGTTATTAAAAATTTATTTAAATAAAAAAAGAAGTTAATTTTTCTAATTGCGATCGGCTGCCCGGCAGTGCAAATCAGGCCCTCCGAGTGTATTTTTACATAAAATAAAGACTCCTCATAAAAAACCAACAGCCGTTCGGAGGCGGCTTAGTATAAACTGTAGGTTCCTCCACTTCATTTGCTGGAAAAACATCAAGGCGCAAAACACAAATTGGTGGCGGAGCTTTAAGAGTATTCATTCAAATATTTTTTAAATTGTTTAAAAAACATTTGTAGCTACTCAATCAAAAAAATAGTGTATTTAAAGCAGTTTTATGTTCTATTTTATTGGTCTAGTAAAAAGTAATCAATTATTATTTAATTAAATTGATGACTTTATTTGCCGTAGTTACCGTGGTTAGGATTTATAATATTTTAGTATTTATATTAATATATATGATTTTTTACGAAGTATATAAGGTACTTATATAAAGCAATAAAATATGTAGCATTTTATATAGAGCTTTAGTACCCACAATTGGTAAATTTTTGATATTTAAAAATTATTACTTATTTTTTTCTAAATCCCACACTAATATTTACTAAAACTGCCCGCATGTTTGATTGATTAACAATATGCATCATATATACATACATATATTTTTTATATAAATAAAATAACTTACCTATATTTTTTTATGTACTCCTTTACAGATGATGAAGGCATCGCGGAATCGGGAATGTAAAAAATATCAAAACTAAAGTCAAATTAAAATGAAAATATATATAATATTATATTATATGTATATTAAACTATAAACATACATACATATTTAGAGCTGAACAAAAGAATGACGCTTTAAGAACCAATTGGATCAATAAGAGAATGCAATAATATGTGAAGGGAAAAGAGTGAAAAATACAACTATTTTAATCAACTCCTACTGACTGTCGTGCATACACCGCCGACTTGTTTGTATGTACATACGAGTATGTATGTATCAAATGCAAGTAGCGACGTTGCATTTCAATTGAGACTCGAATGTTGAAGATCAACTCAAAGTGAATGAATATAAATATTAAAAAAGAAAATACTAAAATAAAATAATACTAATTTACATAAGAAATAAAAAAATACACATACTTATATACAAGTATGTATACAACATTATGTAGCTAATAAAAGGACAACAGTTGAAGTTATGCTCGCGTTGGCAGTGAGAGAAAGTGCATGAAGTAGATGAAATTCGCCAAGTAAAGAACAAAAACTATTTATACTTAAAAAAGAAAAATAAAACAAACACTTAATTAAATAATTAATTAGCGAATATGCGAGTGAAGCCAATGTGTAAAGGTTTTTTTTACAACACTTTGTATAATAATATTCTAAAAATTAATGCTAAAATTATTATTAAAGAGGAAAAAAATGTTTAAACATAGGCTTATTTAAGCGAGTGTCATTCAATAGCTATGACGTCACCATTAACAGCTCTTTTCATAATTGATTTTTGCTTTTGTCTGCTAATATTTTTTTTTACTTGTTGAAATTATATTTTTTTTTTTAAATTAAAATTTTGTGCTTCTCAGTTTTAAATAATTTTGTTAAAAGTAATTTCAACTGATAAATTTAAATAATAAATATGTAATTTTATTTTATTTTATTTTATTTTATTTTATTTTATTTCGTTTTTGAACGCTTGCAAATTATGTTAAATAAATATCGAATGTGACATGTTTTTAAATCTATATGTATCTAATAAATATGTAAATACATATACATATATGTATGTATCTAAGAGAGTATATGTTTGTAAATCTTTTATTATTGTATTAAAGTTAGACAATATTTTACAAACAAACTATTTTGTTTTTGTTTTTTTTTTTTTGTGAAAGGTGTAATTAAAATATTTCTATTTGTATTTGTAAAGCAAGCATTGAGTAAATTGAAAAAATAATAATAATAATAGCACAGTTACATAATACATATGTGTATACGTATAGAAGCCGTGAACAATTTAATTTACTTTTTTATGTTGGCCGTAATTTTGAAATTATGTAACTATTTTGTTGTATCAATTATATTTTAGCTATATTTTTTTCTGTAAACTAAATAGTAACAATGTGTAGAGTGTAAAATATGGAATGAAGTTTTTTTTTTTAAATGTAAACAATTGGAAATAAAAGAGAACAAAAAATATGAAATATAGTTGTTGTTTTATATTATTATTTATTTTTTTATGAAAAACTGGTTTGTAGTTATTATTTTATATTATTATTTTGATTTGAATTTCGGTAAACTTTTTTATTTATTTAATTTTTTTCTTTTACCATCTTTATTATTAAATTTTTTTAAATGTATATTGATGCATTTTTTTATATTAATAATTTTGCGTCACATATTTTTATTAAATAGCTGTGTGCAGTTCCATTTCATCAATTTTTTCTTAGTTCCGGTCGTTATTGTTTGATAGCTATAATAATTTTTATCAATTTTATGACCTTAACTTAAACGGAAATTGTTGTTAGTTTATAAAAATTAACTTTCTAGACTGTATAAACTTACTTTTATAAAAGAAATAATTTTTGAACTGAAATTGACATTTTTTAAGCCTATCTATTATTTTTTTTCTTTATTATTTTGTTTTATACCTTTCACCGATTTTTTCAAATATGTGGCTTTAGCCAGAGCTCCGTCAAAAAAGCTTTTAAGAGCATGAAATTTAGTATTGTACATTCGTATCTGGTAAAAAAATTTTAAACCGAAAATCATTGAAATCGGAGTATTATATCATAAAGGCATTTCCAACAAATGTTTCATATATGAGGATTAATATTTAATTCTAAAACAAATTCCTATAAATTTTATATGATTCTGAAAGGTATAAAAACCTCAGCAAGTATTGAACCTATTTATTTATTTTTTTATTTCATTCTTTTTGAGTTCATATTGATCGTTTTTTACTTTATTATAAATTTGTGTAATTTTATTTCACAATTTTATAATATATGTTGTTTTATTTTATTAATTTTGTTTATTTTATCTTACTATTTTATTTCTTTAATCTGTATTAATTTATCTTATTTTAGTTTTATTACAATTCTTGATAAAATGTTTTTATTTATTTTATTAAATATAACTCTTTTGAATCTTATTTTATTCTATTTTTATTTATTTTATTATTATATTTATTTGTATTTAAATTTCGTGCTTTATTTTATTTCTTTTATATTAATTTATTCTATTTTATTTATTTAACTTTATTTCTTTTATATTAGTTTATTTTACTTATTTTTTATTTTATTTTATTTTTATCTTTTTTTATTTAATTTTTACATATTTTATTTTTACTTCCTTTTTTATTTTATTCCTTTTATATGAGTTTATTTTATTTACTTTAGTTTTATTTCATTTATATTATTTTATTTGACTTATTTTTTATTTTATTTTATTCTATTTTTATTTAATTTTATTTTAATTTTTACCTATTTTATTTTTACTTACTTTTTTATTTTATTCCTTTTATATGAGTTTATTTTATTTATTTTAACTTTATTTCTTTTATATTATTTTATTTTACTTATTTTTTATTTTATTTAATTATTTTTGATTTAATTTTATTCTTTTTTATTTTATTTTAATTTGTTTTCATTTCTATATTTTTTTATTCAATTTAGTTTGTTATTCTCTTGTATTTTACATATTTCGTTTCATTTCTTTTGTTTGATGTTGTTTTCTTTCATTTTGTACATATATTCTTTCATTTTATTTTTAATTTAATATATAATATTTAAATATACACTTTTTCATTTTGATTTGATTTATTTCCTTTCAACTTTTCCCATTTTATTCCGTTTTTTAATTTAGTTTATTACACTTTGTATTTAATTGATTGACTTATTTATATTATTCCTTATTGAATTTTCGTTTATTTCTTTTTGAATTAAATTATTTATTTCAATTATTCCATTTTATTTTATTTTTATTTATATTTTTTTTTTTTAAATATTAAAACTTTATTTCGTTTTATTTGGTTTTGTTGTTTCTTTTTATTATTTGTTTTGTTCTGTTTTTTGTTTTTAATTTTTCGCTTTTAATATTTTATTTCAATTTATTTTTTATCTTTTTCAGTTTTACTATTTTTATTTTATTTAAGCTTACCTTATTTTAATTTAAATACTTTTTTATTTAAGTTAAGTTTGTTTTTTTATATTTTACTTAGTTTTTTATTTTTATTTTGCCTTATTTTATTTAATTTTAGTTTATTTTATCTAATTTTGTTTAACATTATTTTATTTTTTTTTATATCATATTATTTAATTTTTTTTTTATTTTGTGTTTTATTACTTTAGTTTATTTTTTTTTTCTATTTATTTATATAGATATAATAAATTTATTATTTAAGTTTATTTAATTTTTATTTATTTTATTTTAGTTTTCTTTCGTATTTATTCAATTTTATTATTATTTTTTTATATTCTAATTTGTAATTATTAAATATAATTTTTTCTTCTATTTTTTTTTTTTTTTTTTTCAATTTAATTAATTTGGTTTGGATTTTAATATTATATTTAATATCTTTTGGCAACCGCATTTCCCAACGAAAAGTCAAGGTGCTGGACAATATGAAAACCTATTTTAATACAAAATTTACATACAAACACACATGCACACGGATAAGGGAAAATGTTATATGTGTGAGTTTCAACGAATACCAAAATCAATAACATTAAGAACCAAATACTAAGGCAACAACAAAAAAATCGAAAACGTTAAAAACGCTTTTATTTAATAATTTTTGAATGTAATTGAGGTAATAAATACAGAAGAATTGTGTAAAATTATTTGCGCATATTAAAATATCAAAATTAAAAAAATAAAATATTTTTACCATATTTTAAAAAAAAATTACAATTTTTTCACCAACTATTTATACCGCTTCTAGACGAAAACAAATCATTAAAAGTTATATTTTCTTAAAAAAAAAAATAAGAAAATAACAAGACTAAAATAAATCCCACTAGAAAAGAAAACCGACTTGTAAAATAACTAAGAATATAATAATTTTTGAATGCATTTAAAAGCATTTGTGTGTAAAAAATAATAAATGCTTAAAATTAAGACAAATATTTATGTACGCATAAACAAAGAGGTAGTCATATTAAGCATAAGGTGCCAAAATGAAATGAAATCACATTAACCGTTATTGCTTTAACCGAAACAAAAACTAAAAGGGAGGAGAATTGACGAAAATTAATAATCTACAATGCAGCAACAGTCCTCCGCAATATACTCGTATATACATGATACATATGCACATATATAAATATATCAGCATATATATTTAAATTTTCTGTTAATTCTCCCATGAGATAAAAATAATTTCGCTTGTCATTCTTTGCGCAGGATTTTTATATAAAAATACACGAATTCCATAGAAAAGTCGATCGTTGAAACCGAACTCAGCGAACTCAAATGCCAAGTTGACTGACGAATCCACATATGTATATCCACTACGAGTATTGCTCTAAGCAATTGTATATTTGTGTATGTAGTTGAGTAATCGTAAGCATTGTTCAAGCTTCTAAACTCCATGTAGGCTGCAGCTGTGCGTGTATTGAAATATTAAAGAATAAAAAAAATTAAATCATTTTGGGGTAATTTTACAGTAAATTGGAATTATGCATATATGTATGTATGTATGTATTAAGTATGTACATGAAACTAAAAAAAAATTTTTGTAAATAGAAAACATATTTAACTCAATGAAGCATTTGTAATGAAGATTAGACTTTTTTTTTTGATTTAAGAATACATACTTAAGAATAAAAATTTTCGTAAAAATATCAAAAGTATATAAATTATATAGTTATGTACGAGTGTGTAGTGTAAGCGCTAATAAAATTTCTTATATTTTTTATTTAGTTAAAATAAATGTAATTATTTATACATACCTTTAGAGTATATGTTTAGTAAAATGATATATTTAATACAATATTATAAACAAATATTATATAAAAATAATAATCATATTCAAGAGAAAGATGACCTTTTTTTATTATTCGAACTTCTACGGAGAGAAGAGAAAAGGATGTTCGATGAAAAGGGTTAAGGGGCTTGTGGAAAGGTCGTGGCGTCATGTAGAGTCTCATTATGCATTGGTCATATTTTGGGTATCTCGGGGGTAAGTCGAGTTAAGTGGAAGTTAAGATCCAGACCTTCCGCTCGAGCTCTTCATGTATTATAGGTGGCGATGGCAGACTCTCAAGAGTGAACAAACAAACTTAACAAAGAGATCTCAATCTGTAGTTGGTTTCCAGTTACGGTCCACATGATGGTAATGCGGAAATCCTTGATTAATTTTCCTAGGTTTGGAGGTTTGACTTCAAAATTCAACCAACGACTGTCGACCACCCAGATAGCATCGACCGAAATGAACAGCTCATCATAATTGATAGTAGCACTAACTTGTTAGCCGTTTGAAAGGCTTTCAATAAGAGCAGTGCTCCCAGGACGGTGCCTGTACAGGGTTGGTTTCTGGTTGAGGTCATGAGCTACCGGAGTGTTTGTATTCTTTACGAAAACCATGCTGACGTGCCGCTAAGCTCCGTTGGGGAGCTAAGTGTCTCCGCTACTGGTAAGAGGAGGTATGCCCCTTTGTTCTGATGTTTCCCACGCTTAAGTAGCGCTATTATTCTATCCTGTTCATATACGTCGCTGGACCTAGAAATTTTAGCAGCAGCAAAGTTTTCCGTCAAAGCCGTTGAGTTTGTGTGTTTAAACCTTCAAGATAACTCCTGCTCCTCTATTAAAATTCAATGTCATAATGTCATTTGACAGTTTGCGCCATCAGCATGTCCCTTTTGTCGTTCTATCCACTGAAGAATACGAGTATAGTGCAAAAATTCGACTGCAGTAAGTAGTAAGTAAGTAGGGGCGACTCGATCGGCGGCCGCGGTAGCTAAGTGTTTAGCAAAAAAAAATTTATACAAAATTAAGTTCAGTTTTCTAACTGCGGTCGCCCTTCCGTAGGGAATGTCATGAAATAAAACTCGTCTTAAAAAACCATCAGCCGTTCAGAGGCGGGACAAAACCACAAATTGGAAGAGGAGCTCAGTTGAAAATAGTTTCAGCGGTTACTAAGCGCCAATTATATAAAGGTTGATTTTTTTTTAGCTATTATCTCTTTGGCAACATTGGTTTAAACTGCTGAATAAGCAGAATTGTCGATTTTGGAGTGAAGGTCAGCCAGAAGCATTGCAAGATTGGTGCGGTTTATGGGCTGGTGTCATCGTTGGACCGTACTTCTTCAAAGATGATGTGAATTGTAACGCAACTGTGAATGGTGAGCGCTAACGTGAGATGATATCAAACTCTTTTTTGCCCAAAATGCAAGAGCTTGACTTGCATGTCATTTGGTTTCAACAAGACGGTGCCACGTGCCACATTCACGGTCAACATTTGCCTGAAATAATCTTCAAACATTAAACTATATGGAACGAACTATCGATTCAAATAAAGATTTCATGCGTTTTTCTGAATTTTTTGTTCTTTTACGAATAACTTTCTTTTAGCTCTTAAGAAATCACCCTTTATAAGAGCGACATAACCTTACTTTGGACAATAGGTAAAGCTGCTATATGTGCTGGAAGGTCATACTTTATGCTTCTAAATCATTAAAAAATATATATTTTCTTAACACCTATCTCTCAATTAAGACAGTTTTGGTTATACTTTCGGAAAGAAAATTCTGAAAATAAACTGTAGTAATTTTCTGTGTATTTTTTTTAACAGACAAATCGTTTTTTTTATTTAAAGTGCTAAAAGGCTTCGATATTTCTTTTAGTTAATTTAAATTAATGTCATTGAAAAAACTTTTAAATCTAAAGCAAGTAAGTCTACAGCAATTCTAATCTCCTACTGAAAATTCCATTCATAAAAAAATTTCAATGCGTATTAAGCTTTTTATTACTAGAGTTTAATATAAATAGTTTTAGAAACTTTATAAAATACATAAAAATATTCGGTTTTGTATGCAAATGAAAAAAAAAAACACAAATAATCGACATTTTCGGAAAGTCAGAAAGTTTAATTTGAAATCAATATATTTGGCTCAATAGTGTGTAGAATATTGAAGCCCTTGTGTAAAACACAAACCCGTTGGACGCCACATTCAACCAAGAACTTGGAGAACTGTAAGGAAAATTAAATTATTATTATGCAATAAATTTAAAGCATTAAAGCAAATATTACCTGCACAGCATGCTCGTGCTTATTACTCATGCATATTACAATACGACCCTGTAGCATTTCCACTAATTGCGACACACCCAAGGCATCAAGACGAGGTTCGGCCAGTTGTGCCGCCACAAAGGGTACGTTAATGCTGTGTGGCACTCGTACGTGCGAAAATTCAACAGCGCTACGTAAATCCAGTGCACACATATCAGTCGGCGCGTAATGCAGTAAGCTTGTAAAGTCATTTGCGCTAATGCGTGGACACATTTCGGCTTGTAAGTGTGACAGAGTGACATCCGGTGTAAGGTCCTGAGAATGAGTAGATTTTGAACTTAATAAATCATATTTCAGCAAATATTCAACTTACAAATTCAGTCAGTGGTGTTTCACGCAGCACGTGAAAACGGTGTGAGACACTTTTTGGCGTACATTCATACATTTTTTGCGACTCAAAAACACAACTTTCCATTACAATATCAGGCAAATCGGAAAAGAGTAAAATGCATTCATTGAAGCCAGAGGCGAGCAGAGTATTCTTTAGTTGCTTCAGTATAGCAATGCCAATATATAGCGGATATGAGCTGTCACCCAACATAAGCTTATCCCAAAGGTGCATTATCTTATGTAATGGAAAAACATCTGAAAAAAAATCAAAAAAAAAATGTATATATATATACATTACTCTTTCATTTTTTTAGCTCATTAAAAACAGGTGGAAAGAACTTACGTGAAAACATGGTGAGAAACCAGGGTATGGCAAAGAGTTCCGGTATAAAGTTGATGCTGGCTAAATGCTTGGCCAAAAGTGGTTCATGGAATGCTGTGAGTTGAGAAAACTTGCTTAAATATTCTTTAATGATCGCCGAATTGTCCTTAAGGAAAAACCACTGCAGATATTTCGGTATGAATTTGTAAAGACTGAGAAACGCCAACTCTAATTAATTAAAAAATATTTCGATTTATAGTTACTAGTGATACTGAATAAAACTTGATAAATTAATTACATAAATAAATAGAAATAAATTAAAATAATAGAAATTAGAAAGTTATTAAAATTAATAATAAATTATAGTACATTACTAAAAAAATTCATTGAATTCACCTTCATTATTGAAGTTAAGATACAAAAACGGCGCCGTTAGCGAGTCCAAGCCTTGCCAGTAAACATATTGCGGATGAGCGGTGACCCATGCTTTTAAGAGTCGTTTTAACTTGCAGTGCCCCTCCGGCGAAGATAATAATTCATCATACTGATGACAGCGAGGTATGTCTACTTCAATCTAAACAAACCAAAAACAAAAAAATATAAAAAAAATAATTCAAAAATGTATAATTTCTATTAAATATCGGCACACACTTGTCGATCGGTGGAAGTAGGCGTAAATTTATCGATTTTCCCATAACTGCCTATTGGTATAACATCCAGCAGGCAAGACCAAATCGGACCTCGTAAATATGGCGGTATATCTTTAGCGGCCTCCTTACGTATCATTTCACTTGTATACGGATAACCCTAAAAACACACACATTTTCATTTAATATTTATTCTAAATATACATATGTATATCGATTGGTAGCCACTGCCCACCTTTAGTAATCTCGAAAACAAGCGCACTCGATAAAATTGATATTCAATATCTCTCTCTCTTATCACCAATGGCAATTGCTCCATACCGGCTCCAAAATTGTGTGGGAATTTCGGTGAATGTATTAGTGGAAAGTATGCCATTGCTGGTTGGTTGCATAGTTTTTCATAAAGATTATTTAATTTCAACGGCACCACACGATCATCCATCAGGTAAGACTGACTACGTTTTGGTCCAACAATTTTGCCATTAAGACAAACTAATTGCGGTATAGCCAATATCGGTGCCTCGCTACGTATGAGTCCCTCTTTCTTTAATTCACCCTGAACATCACCACCCGCCAGTTGCCACCAATAATATATCTGCTCGAGTGGACAACGATAAAGTAGTATAGTCGGTTTTGGTGGCTCAGTATATGCGTAGGCTTCAATATCTTTTGAAAAAACTTCATGTGTGAATAAATCCGTTGGCAGTGGTCGCTTAGCAGGTGTAACACTCAGACAATTTTCAATCAAAATACGTAGTTCTCCGTTTATTTGTTCGTACCGTTCCAGGCAATTGTGCTCACGTGCAATTCTCTCAAATACATTATTTGTTTGGCAAAAGGAAAGTATTTTCCTGGCTATATTTGAAATTTTTAAATTTGGCCAAAATTTAGTTTGCAATAGAAGCTCAGCAACAATCATGCCCAATGACCAGATATCACTTTTTATATTATTTTTGGAACCAAGAAATCTTTCGGGCGACATATAGCGCACGTTCCTGTCAATTACAATTGAACGTTTGGCTTTATGGGAAAAAAGAAAAGTGATTGATTTGATTACTACTTACCCAATTGGAAATGGTACGTAGTCGCCACATCTGGTCATGTGATATAAACCGTAATTGAAGAGTTTTACATTATCGCAATCGTCTAACAATACATGTTTTGGTTCCAAATTATGTACGACTAAATTATGTTCTGTAAGCGCTTTAAGAGCACAAACGATTTGATAGAATATACGCACTACCAACGGTTCAATGAGCACGCTTCGTGATTTATCCTGTAGCGTAGTGCCAAAGTACTCAGATACAACAATAGTGCGTTCTAAATTCGATAGTTACAAAACAAATAATTTATTTTTTTCTAAAATAGAAATAAGGGGCGTGCACTGAAACTACATACCATGTTTTCCACGCACAAAATCTAAGTATTGACATAAATGTGGATGTTTCAGTTCTTTAAGCTTCTGGGCGCGACCCAATATAGCAATGGAATTCGGAGTTAGTGGCAAGCCATTGCTGCCGCATACATCACCGGGATGGGTTTTTGCAAAGAAAGTTATTGCGGCCAAACGAGACTCTGGTTTACTTTTAGATTGATGCATTATTTAGTCCAAACTAAAGCACAACACGCAATTTCCCAGCATTAGAAATTTTTTATTACAAAAGCACTATAATAGTTTCATTTAAATTCATAATTTATTAAATCACTACTGAAATTCTTATATAAATAGGAATTAATTTAAATACTGTGATATGAAATTGAAATCATTTTACAGTGCTATGGAATTGTCAGAAAATGTATATTTGTTTATTTAATCAGCTGATTTTAAATCAAAGCAAGTGTTGTTTGTTGTTTTTTAATCAGTGTTGGAAAGCACTCTCGTGCAGGCGAAATAATTTAAAAACAACAACAGCAACATTAAGCTTTCTGATAATAAAAGCCTCAGTTCTTTAAAATTATCAGCTTAAAATAGGTGTGCATATAATTTATATTAATTTTAAGCCATTAGCAAGAAGTACAACCAAAGAACGTATATTAATATACGTTCTTTGGTACAACATTGAAATAATGAAGTAATTACGTTGGTCCCAACTCGTTCCAAAAATTTGGTTAACTTGGCTGCTATTATTACTCGTTGATTTCTGCTCGCTAATGTCAGCCGAGGCATCGACTACGAATAGCGACCGGGGATTTGTCTTTCCGTTCTCGAATTCCACGGTGTGCACATGTTTGTAGGCTACTAGCAAATTAAATTAAAGGCAAAGGCGCCAATGCATAAATGGTAATTATTGTGTTCCAAGTGCAAATATTCAACTTGTGTAGTATGTATTTATTGATGATACCAGATGACGAGACTGAGTTTTATATTTTATCTCATTCTTCTATGTATTTTTCATTGAAGTTTGTAACACAAGATATAAGACAAAAGATTAATCGGCAACGCTGAATAAAAGATTATAGTTATCCATATAGTTCTTATATTGAATATCATTAATAAATAAAATATTGGTTTCAGGAGAAAATGGAATCCACATTTGGAAGCATGAAAGTTTCCTGATAAGCAAATATGGTGAAAATTTTGGTATAAAACCTTAAAGGCGGAAACACTTCACAAAGAAGGTATGTAAAATTGTAGTAATATTGAAACTATTTAATTGTATGAGGATAAATACACAGACCTGTACTGATACAATCTTGATAGACCACTTATCTGCTGATAACAATATGAATTTCTTTTCATTTATTGTAAATGGTCCTTTTTCTAAATTTTTTCTTTACACTTGCAGATGGCTGCTCAAATATCGAGAAAAGACATTCGAAGGATTTGGAATTTTCCAAAAAGGTTAGTATATATAAACTTTTTTCTTGATTTAGTAAGCTATTCTCTTATGATGAAACTCTGCATCGGAATAATTTATGACGATTATATAACAACTCAAGCTCAACAGGACTGAATATTGAATTATTAAAAATTATTGAACATATGTTATTAGCTTATAATTAATACATATTTTCACTTTATTTACAGCTAGGGCTGAATATCGATAAATTTTCGTTCAACTTCAGCATAATGCAAAGGTAATTATTAAAAAAATATATTTGTATTTTTTTTCTTATGTTTTAATGATGATAAAACAAGGCATTTCCTTTTGCGGTTTCCACCGGAAGTTCGCTAATGACGGTTAGGACGTCTGATATATTTTTCACATCTAGTAGATTAAAAATATTAAGCATAATTAGTATTAAAATTTTTGTTGTATATTTTCAGATATCTCTTATTTTGCAAGCTGTATTCAAAGATTAATAACGCTTCAATCGCGAAATATAGGTGTGTATAGTTGATTTTATTCAATTTTTATTTTTATTTCAAATGATGAAAGCACATGGCTTTTCCTTTTGCGGTTTCCACCAGAAGTTCGCTTATGATGGTTAGGACGTCTGATATATTTATATAAAAAATTATTATCCTGTTCATGTTTATCTCTATACTAATGGTTATTCTTATCCTTATATTTCAGGTGTTGTGATTAAATAAATAAATAAAAACTAAAACTAAAATGTAATCTATGCTTTTTAATTTCTTTATTAACAATTTGGGGATTGAACTTAGATATCAGCATGTCAAAAAGAGAAGTGAAAGTTTTAACCGTAATTTCGACGGGACGCTTGAGGCATAATGAAGATTATTGGAGGTTAGGATTGAAGGTTTTTACGCAAGTAGCTATTGGTTCGTTTATGGTTTTACTATTGCAGTTTCTGTAAGACAGCTTGAAAAAAATTGTAAGCTCACTGTCGAAGCGGACGGGGGAAGACTGTTTAAAATGTATTCAAATTCAGCTCTGGGCTCATATATGCAAAATTATTCATACAAATCTGCTAGGATGCAAAAGCTCAGATAATAGCAGCAAGCAATTAGTCAGCGCTCAAACAGTCACTATTTGTTCGAAAAACTGCAATACCACATACTTCAGAAGCTCGCCGGATATATTGCAGAGCCAGTTGGACCAACGGCTAGGTTAACATAACAAACTTCCTGAGTCTTGTGTTGACCCGTCGAAACGAAATAGAGTTCTAAGAATTTTATAACCTCCCGGAGAAGAAACCTATTAGTACTTTCATCTTCCATATAAAAAAAAATTCAAAATTCAGCAACTATCATACACTTACCAACATTTTGCAAATTAGTCAATAAAAATGGATACCAGATATTAGGCTCTTCCCCAAGTACTAAAAATAACGTTTTTTTTTAATATAATGGTTCTCTTTATTAAAACTTATTAAGCTTCAACTTGGTGACGAGCAGCACTTCCTGGTTTCTCAGCCAAGAAGTCGGCGAATTCCTGATAGGGGGTAGCACCCAAAGGCATCTCTTTCCACAAGTCAGGAGTCAAATAAGCGTAGGTCTTGGCAATGGCGGCGTAAGTAGCCTTTGCGAAGTTACCAAGAGTACCAGTTGAACCACGAGCTGAAGTGTAGCAATCTTCAATACCAGCCATAGTAAGCAACTTCTTGGGAACGGGGGCTGATACAATACCAGTACCACGAGGAGCTGGGATCAAACGTACACTAACTGAACCACACTTGCCAGTCACTTTGCAGGGCACGGTATGGGGTTTACCGATCTTGTTACCCCAGTAGCCACGACGTACGGGAACGACAGACAATTTTGCCAAGATGATGGCACCACGAATAGCGGTTGCTACTTCCTTGCTGCACTTAACACCAAGACCAATGTGTCCGTTGTTGTCACCAATGGCAACGAATGCCTTGAAACGTGTACGTTGACCGGCACGGGTCTGCTTCTGAACAGGCATGATCTTTAATACTTCATCACGAAGTGCAGTACCAACAAAGAAATCGATGATTTCGAACTCTTTAATGGGCAATGAGTAAAGATAGATTTCTTCCAATGAATGGATTTTTCCATCTCGCACCAGGCGACCCAATTTGGTTACTGGAACCCACTCCTTGGAGTCTTCCTTGCCTCCACGACCACGTCCACGGCCACGACCGCGACCGCGACCACGTCCACCACGACCGCCACGAGAACCAAATCCTCCACGGAAACCACCACGGGCTGGAGCTGCGTCCGCCATTCTGCAAGTAGAAAAACAAATATCAATTAGTCACTGGTTTGAGGTTATGTATGAATACAAACAATGTGGTAAAAATAAAATCAGACACCTTTAAGCCATCTTTAAGTCAGAAAGCAAAAGCTTAGTAACTTTCTGGAGGAAACCGCAAAAGGAAGATCAATGGTATCATCACTTAATTATAGATTACGTATTTATTTCATTATTACAGATTTACTTTTTTAAGCCACGTGGTTCCACACAATAAACAAAGTTCTTCTTGTTATTAATAGAAAAATTCGGAACATTTTGAAAGATTGAGTAACCCAATGTACGAAATAATTACTTTAATTTAATTTATGTTTATATTACAATAAACCTACAATATTTGAAAAAAACTATTAAAATTTACTCACCTATTGATTTTCAAGTTATGTCGGTGAAGGTAAAAACCGAATGAACGAGTTGATGGATTTCGCTTCTTCAGGCACCATTTTGGGTTCTGTTTGGAAATGCAGTGAAATGTACAGAGAGTTTCAAATGAAATGAAAAAATTAGATTTAAGAGATTGGTACAATGTAAAATTTTGAATAAATAGCAAATCAAATTATTACGTCGAGGAATGTGACTTCGACATCTAGGATGAGAAAATTCAACTTTACGAAATTTGCGCCGTGTTTGGATTGTGCTTGACTTCTAAGATCAATGCAACACCTATTTAGTGAATATTAAATAAACAAAATGGAAAACTTCGAAACAAGTTCAATAATCACTTAACATATAGATTTTTAGTTGTTTGAAAGAGACATGAGTGAATATAACAACATTAATTAACGTGCTTCGCTTATCGGCAGAATTGGAAATATCACGCAACGACAAAAAGATGAATGTGCGATTGGCTTGATCTTCAATGGGCATTCCTCAATTGAAATCTTTCATCAGCTGCAGTTCTTATAAGTCGACTCAAGCGCTGAAAATCTATACGCTGGTAAAGCCTATAATGAAGTTCAGCTTTAATGCTTTTGATTATTACAGAATTTCGTTAGACTGGCATCTTTGTATTTAATGACAAACAATTACGAGGAAAAATAATCGAGAAACCGGTATCTTTTTCAATTTTGTTTTCTTGAAAATAAAAAATTGGGTGTAAATTAAAAAAAACCAATATATTAAAAACTAAAAGGATACACATGCATAAACTTAATATATTTGCAACAGTTTGAGCAAGGAAAAATAAAGACATTTATAAAACAGAGAGAGAAATTAGATTGCAAAAATATCGAAACAGCAAATATGACAGTCACAGATACTCTACATTACATCGTCATCGGTAATCCCGTGAGCAAGGCAGTGGTGTCCAGCACAACGTCATTATTTTCTCGTAAATCGGTATACAAGGAAATAGATAAGAAAATATGAACTTTTCAAAAATATTTTCTATTTTCTTAAGACTATCAGCACCAGTGCACCAGCAGTCAAAGCATCAACGGAAGCAGTCGCAGCAAAAGTTGTAGGCAGTGCAATGCCATCTTTGTGGAAACTAGCTGGACGCAATCACAATTTTGTACGATTAGCGGGCTTAAGTGGCGCATCAGCTGTTATATTAGGAGCCATTGGTAGTCATGCATTGCATCCAGCACACGAGAAAGATGAAACCAAAACAATTTTCGAAACGGCTAATCGCTTCCACTTCTTTCATTCACTTGCCCTTCTAGGTGTACCATTGGCTAGATACCCAGCTGTGGTAGGATAAACTGTTCACCGAAATATATAATGATACTTTGATAATAACCGATTTTTTTTTTGTTTTAGACTGGTAGTCTATTGTTGGCCGGTACAATACTATTTAGCGGCACACTTTATTATCGTGCATTCACTGGAGATAAACAATTTGCACAATTCGCTCCCTATGGTGGATTTTGTTTGATAGTCGGTTGGCTGACATTGCTGCTATAAACGCTTAAAAATGGAGGAGTTACAAATGAAATTGAAGTCAATATAAGAAAATGATTTTGTGTTGCATAAGTAGCAGCTAAACTGAAATTCCACTGTTTGATTAATGTACATTAGTACGTGCATGTATATATTTTTTAATAATCGCATATGTATGTAGGTATTAGTTGTGGACTTTAATACTAAAGCATATGATCTATGTATATTAAATTTTTGATTGGCGTGCAAGCATTATTGACTATGGTCAATCTATTGGAATAATAAATATCTAATTTGTTTTGGTTTAATACGAAAATAAAAAAAGAGAAAGTGTGTATTTATATTTGTAGCAGAATTTCTACATTTAGTTTAGATGCTTCAAAGTCACAGCAGTTTTTTCGATTTTTAATGCAAAAAATACACGACTTTTTTTTTAGGTTTTTTATTAATTTTTTTTTCAACATTAATAATTTAGTTTTACAAACCATTGCACTATCTTTTTTTTCAATTACCTTAAAATATAATTAATTTTCTTTAGGTTTTGTATTAAAATGTTTTTTGTTTGGAAAAAATAAGTAATTTTTTAATTATTTATAATTTAATTTTACAAAATGTTGCACTAATTTTTTTAATTATCTTAAAATAATAATACTTGAAAAATATAATTAATTTTCTTATTTCGTTTGTGCTACTTTTAGAATAATATATGTACATATAATCAAATAACCGTCAATTTCGTTATTTCGCGAAAATTTCATTATTTATTAATATAATTAATAATACGTTTATCAAATTTGTACTGGAAATAAAATAAAATAATATTTAATTATTGATATAAGTATACAAACAGGCCTTTAGATTACTTAATACTTATATCAAAAATTAATATATAGCATGGCCGCAAAAACAAATTATGAAAAACAATATTTATTTAATTTAAAAATTTAAATTTTCAATTTTTATATTTTGCAACCGTGGGAGACTTTACCAGAGTGGTGAGAGTTATCTTTGGTAAAATTTATCGAACCAAGGTTGACAGTTTGATAGGCTATGTTGTGTTTTGCGGAGAATTTGCGCCTATAAATCATATGTACATCAGTTTTTTTATTAAGTATTCTGAAAATTTTCTATATTTTCACTTTCAAGTAAGCTAAAAAAAAACCAAAATTTATGATATAAATTTATTTAAGCCTGTTTAACAAAATATACACTGAAAATTCAAAAAGAATTTAAATTTGTAAAAATTTACAAAAGAGGGAATTTTCAGAATATTTTCTAAGAACTGCTAAATATTTATAATGATTTAACTCACACCTGCGTACGTACCTATCTAAATTCAGATTGACGAAAATAAGTTGAATAAATCACTAAAATATGAATTTCAAGCAGAAAACGTGAATTTTTTCTCAGTAATTGCGGTTAAGCCAAACAAGTTAGCCAACTTTGCCTCTCTTACGTTTAGCAAAATCATGCGAACCCATTTTAATGGATTCGTATGAAAAATCGGCAAACGCTCACTAAATTGGATTTAGTGATAAATATATATACATACATATGTATATTATAATAAAGTCTCGCTAAAAGTAGCAAACAAAACTGAATATCTGTGGGACAGCTTTTTTACCGGTTCGTTGCACGAAGGTGCAATTCTTTTTCTTTCAAATTCCGGGGAATCACAAAGAATAATTGATACGTACATATAGTAAAATTTTGGCTAGTAAAATGTAAACAATTTTTAAGATGAGAATTGATGGAACTTTTCAAGTTCAAGGCTAATGGGAGAAAGGCCAAGTTCTTCTGCACTTGATATTGATACTACATAGAATACTTTGCACTCTAAACTTAAGTATAGTAAATTTATCCAATCTTCGTTTGGCCCTTGTGCGTCTACGTTCTTTCCCAGTCACATAGTTTTTAAATTTCTGAGCCAGCGGTTATGGCATGCGGTTACCTGAGTATGTAAGCGTGAAACCACGCAGAAATGTCTGATACTGTAAACACTAAACCGGTGAGAACAGCACAAACGTACGTGAACGAAGCATATTCCTTCGTAGTCCTTAGCTGGGAGTGGCGATCTAACCCTATCTGAAAGTGCGGGGCACATAAAACCCTGGCCAGGTAGCGAAATCGATCCCCACATGGTCACAGGCAACAATCGGCCACCAAATACATCCCCAATGGTGTAATAGCGACGGCAACTACGAGCCACTGCACTGAGTACAATACAGCTGTAAGGCACTTCGCGCAGGACAGCCGAACACCCCAAAAACCTTGAAATGATATGACGCGATCGCTATGGATATGCTGCTTCAGAATGCAATGGAAGCGGTGGAAAGGTGGAAAGGGTTATATAATTTCCAAGTATATTTTTAGACATCTGTGGAAGTATGGGAAAACTGGACGAAGCGACATAGGTCGAAGAAACTTCAATCCAAAGGTGCCAATAGGAGTCTTTCTAGATGTTACACTGGAGAGCCCCGGAGCTCCCTTGCCTTTAAGGACGCTGGTTGGTGGCGCAGTACGAGGCTGCCGTAACTAGAATAGGAGAAGTGCAATTAATTCGGCTGGACGTTTTTAAAACCTTTGTTGGTTTCCGTACGCAACCTCTCATAGAATTTTCAGCATATTTCGCTGACGACCTTCTTCTCAAGTTTTTCATACTCACCCATTTTGAGATTTGTCCATTTCTACCACATGCAGCGCGTTGCGTTCGATGCAATTTTGCGAGGTTAACACTCTTTTTACTTCTTTTGTAGAGCGAATGTTCACCTGGTAGTAAAACTCAGGGAGCTAGAAGTGCTATCCAAAAGAACAGGAGATTAAGTACGTCGATAAGTGAGTCGGTGGTATCGGTGGCGTAGATTCTTTGCGAGGAGATATTAGGTCTTCAGAGTTCACTTAATTCTGGATTACAAAAGAAATATTTATCGCAATATAGGCGATACCAGTACTAACAACTACTTTTTTGATACCCCATAGCGTCTGAACACTCTTAGATTGTAGAGCCGCGAATATTTTCCTTAGCCACCTTGTCTAAGGGCGTGCTCTCCAGGCGTTTATATAGAGATGTTTTTCAAATCAGCTTCCTTCTATTCTGTCGGGTTATGTACATTACGTACTTTAATGTGGAGCGTGACATGACATTACATGTCAATTGAAGTCCCTCTTTGGCAGGGAATGACTACAAATTGGTAGTTCTTTTACTAGAATTCTTTTAATGAAGTGGATTTCTTCACGTTAGCGCACAATTTGAGTGGGAATAGAGTTTTCTGGCGAAAAGCCATAGTCATGAGACTAGAATAGAACTATGAAAAGAATATATCACAGTTACCATACTAAGCTTTTCTCTCTTTAGTCGCAAGCTGAAGCTCTACAAGAGCTTATTATCGCGTATTTTGAATTGAATTTTCACTTTTAATTTTGTTGCATGTACTTTCATACGGATGTATGCCCACATACATACATACATACGAGTATATATATAACTAGAATGCACATGCATCGCTCTGAGGCTTAGTTCCATTAATAAAGATTAAATGAAAAATAAATCTAGTTAGTGGCAAACGGCAGGAATTTATATGTAGCAGCAGCAACAACAATAACAACAAATTAGGCTTATTCGAAATCCCAAATAAATCTTTTTAAAAAATTTTGTTTACTTTTTTGTATAATAAAAGCAAAGATTAAAAGTCACTAAAAAGCACAGAAGCAAGTACAATTCCCTCGTACATTCCAGGTCCGTTTAAATACATAAGAATCTTAATACTTATTACATACATACATATAAAATATATTCATTTGTGTGTATACAAATCTTATACATAACATTTAGCCACGACAATGTGCAATACTTCGCATCTCGTCTTTGTGTTGATAATCTCCTCAACGTACCTGAGATATACTAAATAGATAGCTAGTATAACGGCATATCTACGGTCGGTGTATCTTGTATCTAATGTATGAAAAACAATATCATTTTACAATGTGTCCCGAAATAAAATGATTTAATGGTGAAGATGGAGGGAAAAAACTGAAATTATAATAAATACTATATTATATAGTCAAGGTTTCGTTTGGATGTTACACTTGTGTTACGCTCTTGCCACATATAAACCGTTAAAATATACTCCCACAAGTACATAGATGGAAATGAACCTGACAACTTTATTGCGCATTTCTAGAAAGTACTTAATAGCTCTCGCAACTCAGCTCAGTCAACGATTTGGACGGACACATGTCAAATATGCGAAATGTTCTGGTGAAATAATGTTGGGAGTGTTACGTTAATACTTTATTGGGCCGTTATTTTCCATTACTAAAGTAGGTTCTAAACCTGTTAATTTTATTAACGATATATATACAAATGGTAAAATAAAATTATTATACTTTATATTAAACGTTTATAATGTGAATTTAAATTTTGTGGAAAAACTTATACAGAAAAAATATTATTGTTAAAACTCTTTCGACTTTAGGTAAAAAAAGTCACCAAATCAAAACCAATTTTTTTTGTTTCTAATATAATTTTCATCAAGTGGATTTTAGAGCACATTTTTCTTTTAGTTTTTTTAATAGGATATAACTGTGAAACCTGTGGAATCAGTCGTCGCATATTTTCTGAGACGGATCAGAAAGTTACGTATACGACATGTATAACCGAACTGAAGATTTTCAAGAGAGCTGAGTACCTTAAAATCCTAGACAATTTTAAAAATATTGCTTTAAAAAGAAAGACAAATAAAAAAAACAGTTTATAAAAAAAAAAATAAATAATTATATAAATATTTTGCTTACTGCATTATTTTAGTTTTAGTATTATCTCAAAATATTTGAACAATTTTACTAAAAATTTCATGAACTGTGAAATAAGTGGCAAATAATTCAATTGTATTTAAGCGCATATAAATATGTTTCCTTTGCAAAAACCCATTATTCCCCTCTACAACATTAAGCCCCACCTCTACAAACTATAGCAACGTAGCTGTGAGGTGAAGTTGAAAATATCGGTCGCGTGCCATTTTATACTAATTTTAGATAAACAAATTTACACAACCACCAACGATGGCCCCATAAAATGTAAACTCTAACCTAAATGCCATGGATAATATGGGAAATATAGTATAACATATACTGGAATGAGTCGTATATACCAACAGAGCAATATTATTTGTTAGCGCCATCTGTACTATAACCACATAGGAAATACTCGTAAAACGTTAAGTCGCGCGACTTGTTGCTAAAAATGATAAAGCCAAGTTGTCTCCTCAAATTCCAAATGAATGAGCGAGCGTATTGTATTACGCGCGAGACATCGACCGGCGCTTGTGTAAACATACACATATAAGTAGTACAATACAGAAAAATATTTATGAGTTTTTTTTTTACGATCTCAGCTGAGCGGTAAGTAGCTAAATAAGTAATGACAATTATGACAACAGCAACAACAACACCATCACGAGGATGAAGTTCACAGTTTCCATACGGGAGAAATAGAAGTTGTTTGGATAATGAATTTGGTTGGTTGGCAATGGTACATACATACACACGAGTATATGCAGCGTAAAGTCAGTTGTTTGTACGGTGTTGTTGATAAACACAACACAAATAATGCAAATCTCGCACCATATTTTTTATAATAAAGTGACAACTTTTGTGGAAATATTATTTTTGTTGTTTTGCTTCATTTGTTATTGTAAGCCAAAAATAATTAAGTAAATGAAACAAAATAAAATAAACTAAAATAAAATAAAAAAGTAAAGTAAATAAAAAAAAATGAAAGAATAAATTAATTAAAATATAAACATATAAAATAAAAGAAAATAAAAAAATTAAATTAAATTAAAATAAATAAATATTAAATTAAATGAATTTAAATAAAATGAAAAAAAAAAAACAAAAAAAAAGAAAAAGAAAAAAGAATAAAAAAGTAAAAAATAAAACAAAATAAAATATAGAAATAAAATAAAATAATGCAATTAAAATAATATAAAACAATTAACTGAAAAAATTAAAATAAAATAAAATATAAATATAAAAGCGTTATAACCCAACATATAAAACCAAATAAAAGCAAATGAAGTTAAACAAAATAAAATAAAATAAATTAAAATATGATGAAATAAAATGATACAAATAAAACCATAAGTAAAAAGCAGTACATAAAATCAAATAAAGTAAATAAAATAAAAAATAAATAAAAATAAAAAATAAAATAAGCAAAATACAAAATATAAATAAAATTAATATAAATATAAAAAAACCGCTTCAGTGGTTGCAAAGCATATGTATATATACATATATATAAATATAATAACGTTATAAACAAACATATAAAACCAAATAAAATAAAATGATGTAAGATAAAATATAATCAATTAAAATAAAACATAAAAATGAAATAAAGAAAATACAATAATTTTAATAAAAAAATATAAAAATAAATCAATTAAAACAAAATATTTAAATGAAATAAAGAAAATACAATAAATTAAATAAAAAAATTAAATAAAGTAAAATAAAATAAAAGAAAAAAAATCATAAAATAAATCTAAAAAAAAATAAAATAAAATAAAAAAATAACTAAAAATAAAAACAAATGAAATAAAGAAATTACAATAAATTAAACAAAATTAATATAAATATAAATATAAAAAAGGTATAACAAAAATAAAAATATAAACTACTAAATAAAATAAAATCAAACAAAATTAGTTGATATAAAATAAAAAAATAAAATTAAACAAAATAAATGAAATAACTTAAAAGAATGAAAATGAAATTAAATATAAATAGAAAAACATTACAAACAAATATATAAAATAAATAAAAATTTATTTTATGCAGTTAAACAAAATAAAACATATGTCAAATAAATAAATTAAAATAAAATAAAATAAAATAAAGTAACGGAAAATAAAGTTTAATAAATTAAAATAATATAAAATAAAAGAAATAACTTAAAAAAGAAGAATACAATAGAATAAAAAAGTAATAAAATAGAATAAAAAATATAAAATAAAATTAAGAAAATATAGTACGGTTAAATAAAATAGCATAAAACAATGTAAAGCAATATAACATAAAAATTAAATAAAAAAATATAATATAATAAAATATAGAGTAAATATATTTACACTAATTTATTTTTAAGTAAACGAATAAAATATAATTAAATAAATATAAATAAAATAAAACAATTATCAAAATAAAGAAAAGTTAAAATATAAAATAAATAGAAGAAAATAAAATAATATTAATTTAAAACCAAATAAAATAAAATAAAATAAGAATTTCAATTTGTTACACTAAACCAACTTGTTGTGTTTGGTGAATTGCATATTAAACTGTTAAATTCTTTCCTCTTGGAAGTGAATAAGAGAAAGGTATGATCTGTTTAGGGGCGTAATTAAACACCAATGCTTTAGGCCGTAAGGAGATGTAGAAAAATATATGACATGAAATAGTTTGCTTTGTAATTAATGTAGGCCTACTGTAACAATAACTATTTTACTCCAAATATTTTTACTATAACTATCACTAAAGCATAATTAACCGAAAATTTGAACTGAACACAATTCTAGAACGATGGGCGATATTTTCTTGTAGAGTTGCATAATCAAAATATACTCACAAAAACGAGAGTATGGAATGAAAACTATTTTATTTAACTTTCTTCACAGATTTTATAGAACATTCTTTCGCTCATGAATAATAATAGAAATATAAGCCAAAATTTATTTGAACTAAATAGTCACGTAGTGTTTTGATTTCAATAGTTACTATGTAAACTTGAGTCGCTCACACCAACTCAATGCAAGTACGTGCAGCATAAAAAATAGCAAAATCCTCATCACCAATACAGAAAAGTGAGATTCGTTTTACATTCAATTAAATGTTTACACACATATGAATATAAAATTATTAAATGTCTCGCTTAGCTATGAATTTATATCCTCTTTTGCAAGCTTAATGCTCATATACGTACATACATGCAAACATTCACATAACCTTACATTCGCACAACATTTCATTCTCAACTCTCCCATTTCGTTTGATGTTATCAGCAAAAATAAGCGATCGAGAAACGTTGCCGTCGTGCCACGTTGCGCCGCGCCACTACTGTGTTCGGCTTTTGGCCCATTACCATGAAAGTATAAAACTCTGTGGTACACCACACTCAACATCAGTAAGTTTAGATGAGATCTTGCATTTGGGTTGACAATTTGGCTACTGGCTTAGACTGCCTTCCACTGCCACTTCAATCACGTTGACTGAATATATAAATATTTTCATAATTGCCATTAGCTTCGGCTACTGATCTCGTTTAACGCATTTACACGTACTGGCGTACACACATATGCACATTTGGTTAGATCTACATACTCATCGTAGGTACAGTGCAAATAAGCGTAATAGTGAAAATTAATTGAAATTGATTGTGCTGATCTTTAGACGCGACGCTTCCTTGCGTGCTATTCAAGCATTTGGGTTTTAGTCGTGATTTGTCAGTTGCTGCGATTTGTAGAACAAATTTTTCTGCTACTAAAGAATATTTCGCGCGAAAAAGCAAGTTTTACATAGAGAGAACAAGTAAACAATCAGTCGGTCTGGTAACTCAAGAATATTTAATAATTGCAAATTGCACATTTTTTGGAAGGCTGTTTTGAAATTTCGCCGAAAATGTGTGAATTTAAAGAAAAGCAAGGCAATAGTGCACCTGGTAAGTTTAAGATGATAGCTTTTCAAATTAAGTTGTAATAATTTAAAAAAAATTAAATTTAAAATAATTTAAATTAAATAATAATACGAAAAAGAATCACTATTAAGCTTTGGAAAAATAGATAAAAAGAATTAAATGAGATAAAACAAATTATAATTAAATTAAAAAGAAATGCGAATAAAATAAAATGAAAAAACAAATCAAATGAAATAAATTGAAATAAAGTAAATTAATTAAATTTAAATAAAATGGAATAAAATTAGTTATTTGTTCTATTAAAAATAAAGCAAAATAATATAAAATAAAATTAGCTAAAATAAAGTTGGTTAAAAATAAAGAGTGCTAAATGGAGTTAAATAAAACAAAACAAAAAGTATCAAGAAAACAAAAAAAAAATTAAACAAAACAAAGTAAAGGGAAAACAAAATAAAATAAAATGAAATAAAATAAAAAAAACACAAAAAAAAAAAAGAATACAGTAAAATAAACTAAACTTAACTAAACTAAGATAAAATAAATTAATATATTGTAAAATAAAATGAAATAAAATAAAATAAAATAAAATTAAATTAAATTAAATTAAATTAAATAAAGCAAAATAACATTAACTAAAATAAAATGAGATAAGTTAAAATAGAATAAAGTAAAAGAAAATGAAATGAAATGAAAGCAAATAAAAAACATTAAATAAAAAAAAATTAAATTAAATTAAATAATGCAAAATAACACTAACTAAAATAAAATGATATAAATTAAAATAGAATAAAATAAAAGAAAATGAAATAAAATAAAAGCGGATAAAAAACATAAAATGAAAGAAAATAAAATAAAACAAAACTAAGTGGAACAAAACATAATAATGCAGCATAGAATTAAATAAAAAACCCTAAAGAAAAAAGTAAAACAAATTAATTTAATAAAATTAATTAAAATAAAAAAAATTAAATAATATAAAAGAGTATATAAAATACAATGAGTAAAATTAAAAAAAAAAAAACAAAATTAAATAAATTAAAACAAAATTAAATAAATTTAAAAAAAATTTTAAAACTTACTTATGGTTACAAATAAGAGAAAAAAATTAAATTAGAATATAATAAAATAATTATTTTTTGATATAAAATTCACACAATAAAATTAAATTAAATTAATATGCACAAATAAAAAATTTTCAAAACTTATAAAATAAAAAAAAAAATTAAATATAGCAAGGTGAAATAAAATATAATAATATTTAAAAAATAATAATCAAATATAATATATTTAAGTACAGATAAATAAAATATAAGCAAGTTGAATAAAAATTGAATACGCAGCGTGCAATTAAAACTAAAAAATGAAAAAAATGAAATAATGTTAAGTGTATATTATAAATGATGTTCTTCTAAATTTGAAGAATATAATTACAGTTTCATTGTGAATTTCCGATTATTTCGATAATATTGATAAAGAAATATTTAATTACTTGCACGTTTCTCATTTCACATTTAACTCTTTTTCCCGTTAATTAATTTCTTAATTCCCACGTAAAATGAGGTTTCATTTAAGTTAATTATTTATTGAAAGCATAGAAATCATTTTTGAAGAATATTATTCACAGCAAGTGTGAGCAGTAATAAATAATATGCTTAATGAGACTTAATGATCATATAGTGTTTGCAATGTTATACTTAAACTATATATGCTTTCTTATTATTACCAAAAAAAAAAAAAAAAAATTATAAATCTAGCTTAATTATGTTTAATTATAGCATGATTTCATAAAACATTAATTAACATTAACAGGCTTATTCTGTCGAGGTAACAAAAATTACTTTGGTATTAAAATTTATCATTCAGTAAATTTTGTTACTATTTCGTATTCTGAGCTCACGGTTACCCTGTAAATTTTGTTAGCAGCGAAATAGGAGGTAACAAAAATATCTGCTATTTGATTTTGTGTTGTTAGTTTCAGAAAAAATAAAAACCAAAATGGATAGGCACATTTTAGGCCTGGAATTCATTGAAGATGAAGAAAAAAGTGCAAAAAGCCGTATTTTAAGAAGTTTTCGAGACAAAAAAGTAACCCTTTAATTTGTAAGATAACGTTTTCATTCAGCTTTTTTTGTTGTCCGAGCATATTTTCCATAATAAGGTTCAAATATTTATGATTTAATAAACAAATTAATAAAACTTTTTAATTTGTTTATGCACCGTCGTCCATTTCGATGTAGACATTTTTCTTTTTACTTTATCAACTGGCAAATGTAATTTGATATGGACGAAAAAAGCAGTGCTGCCAAATTTTTTTCAAACATTGTAACCAGTTCGCCAGAATACCAAATTCAATTTCGGGTGTTAAAGAAAAGTAACAAAATTTACTTTACCAGTAACAGTGAGAATAGGCCTGTAAGAATCATTATTTCTTTTAGCGCTCCTTTCATCAATGAAATTAATAAATTTTTCTAAAAATCATAATTTAAAGTTGTAGTTATGCCGTAAAATAAAACTGTCAGATTATTTGCGCATATGCGTACCGATATATATATATATATATATGTATATTAATCTTAAATTAAAAAATAACATTTAAATTTATGAACATCACATTATTTGTGTGTATGTTTACGTATGAAGCAAACAAAGATAATAAAACCGTAATCTCTTGCGTATTAAATTGCAATAAACCTTAATTTCACGCTTCCATTTGAATTATATATAAAGATTTTACTCATTTATACCTGGACGCACTTTGCAGCGCTGATTCATCTCTGTTTGCATTGTAATCGCTAGCTATGGGTTTGTGGAAGTGTTTGAAATTCGAAACTTTATTTTTCTTGCTACGCTTAAAGGGAAACATTGTATTTATTTGCGGAGTTGCATTGATAAGCGTGAACGATTCATTGTTGTCAATTTACAACGAAATATATATATATAGATGTAATATATATATATATATATAAATATATATATGTACACATAGAATAAAAATATGTGCATTAAAAGCAAGGGAATCCATATTCTTGTTTATTATTTATCTTTTGGATTGGATTTACACGTAAAAAAATCAATTCAAGTGCATTGATATCAACAATGTATTGTACTGCCGTTGGAAATATGAGATAAACTTTGAGTAATGTGTGCTTAAAATTTCATATAAATACATACAATACGTATGCATATATGCACCTATTTGTTGTTATAGAGATGATTTTCATAAATAATTCTAACAAATTCAATTTTTTATTTAATTCAATTCCCGCTAATCCATACATTCGGTTACTCGTGAACGATAAAGTAAAAAGAAAATTTTGCTAAAATCAATGCCAAAATGAATTAGTAATTTAATTGATATGGAGTATTTGTAGTAAGCACCAGATTTGCGATAGACAAATAAATTCCATAAATATTTACGTTTTTTTCCAAAATCATTAATTCGAATCGTACACATATACAACGTTCTTGCTTTACATATATTCTACTTTTGTTCTAATGAACTAATTCCACAATGGTGCACTCACCAGTCAATATTATTCAACTTATTATTATTAATTACGGCCACGGTAGCCGAGTGGTTAGCATTGTGTACTGCCATTCGAAAGGCTCGGGTTCAAATCCTGTTGTCGTAGTAACTACCAAAATGTTATAGAAAATTAATTTAAATAAAAAATTAAGCAAATTTTTCAAATTGCGGTCGCCCCTCGGCAGGGAATGTCAACCCCCCTTTGAGTGTATATCTGACAGGAAATAAAACTCCATACAAAAAAATTAACAGCCTTTCGGAGGCAGCTTAGTATAAATTGTAGGTCCCTCCTCCACTTCATTCGTTGGAAAAACATGAAGACGCAAAAACCACTTCCATTGGAGGAGGAGCTCGGCCGAAAATCACTACAACGGTTACAAAGCGCCAATTATATAATATATATATAGGTATATATTATTAATAATTATTACCAAACTGTATATTGCGCATATGTTTTGCTAAAAAATAATTTCTCGAGTTGAGAAAGTAAAACTTGCTCACATGTTTCGTGTGTGTTAGTAAAAGGTAATGTGTGAAAAGAAATACGAAATATTTGGAGTATTAATATTATTTGTATGAACTGAAAAAAACTAAGAAAATAATCGCGTATACGCCCCACACTTCACAATAACTAAGCTGGTGCTTGAGTGGTACATTTTAATTAGTTATTACAACTTGCCGAAGAGCAAAGAGTAAAAGGGGTGCAGATATGCGCACAGACATCGCACAGACAGCGCACGTGTACGCATTATATTATTATTAGTCTTCGTGAAATAATTACTCATAGTCAGGTATGTAGATCGGAATCTTGTACATGAATGAGATAATAATAAAAGATTATCTAATTCATAGAATTTTATATAAAATTTAGGTTTGAAGTGGTACATTGATCGACCTGATGTTAGTTGCTTTAAAAAATCAAAAATCTATTAGAGATGTCCGATAAGGCGACGTTTTTCATTATATACAAAATATTTCTTCTATCGAATATCGGCAGAAAAAAGTTGTTGTGAATGCCCTTATTAACCGTAGCAGCTAGGCGTATTATTTGATATTTTATTTTTGTTAATATTTTTGACATTTTTCTTCAATTTTGAAAAAGTGTAATAGAATTTAGATAAATTGGAAATGGATAGTTTCATAACCAGTTTTGTTTTAGTTATAAACAGGAAGGAAGAGCTGTCTTCGGTTATACTCAAGTTTTTATACCTTTCATCACATATCAAATTTAAAGTATTTTATTTTAGGGATTTAAGGATTCTCGTATCTAAAAAAAATAATTGGTTTGAAGAAGTTATATGATAAAGTTATCGCTTTCGAAAATTTTCGGTGATAATTTTTCTTTGTATATACATATATACGAGTGTATAATCCCAAATTTTTTTGACAAATTTGTGACCCAAAACCTGATATATGAACAAATCGGGTGTATAGATGCTAAATGATATATATATATATATATAATATGGGATTATACACTCGTATATATATATAAAAATAAATATATATATATATAATTGGCGCTGAAGCGATTTTTGGCCGAGCTCCACCTTCATTTTGTGGTTTTGCGTCTTGATGTTTTTCCAAAAAAATGCAGTGGAGGGACCGAGAGTTTATACTAAGCCGCCTCCAAAAGGTTGATGATGTTTTCTTTTGTGAGGAGCTTTATTATATGTCTGATATACACCCGGAGGTATTGATATTCCCCTCTAAGAGGTATGTTGGATGTTGGCTATATGATATAGTCCACCCATTTCGAAGATTACCGGTGATAATATATATTTGTACAATAAAAAAAAATTAGTAATATAAATAAACAAATATCTCCCTTCCGCTTTTTTGTCTTTTGAATTTCGCGGCTATGTACAAAGCGCTACAGAGCTCGTATCTGGCAACACTATACATATTGCGTTCAACAGTTATAGACGTGTAAACATGGAAATTCACGCTATTTTAAAGTTTTCCTTCGTTAAAGGCAAATCCGCTAAAGAAACATTCCGTGAGATTAATGGTGTTTGGGGGGATGGTACTTTATCACTTCGAACCGCGGAGGAATGGTTTCGACGATTCAGAGCCGGTGAAAACGACACCATGGATAAACCAGCCGGCGGAAGACCTGTGAAGACAAATACCAATCAAATCATGGAATACATCGAGTTAGACCGACATATGGCATCTCGTGACATCGCCCAGGAGATGGGAGTTAGTCACCAAACCATTTTGAGCCATCTGCAGAAGGCTGGATACAAAAAAAAGTTTGATGTTTGGGTGCCGCATAATTTGACGCAAAAAAACCTTCTGGACCGAATCAACGCCTGCGATATGCTGCTGAAACGGAACGAACTCGACCAATTCTTGAAGCGGATGGTGACTGGCGACGAAAAATGGATCACATACGACAATATCAAGTGAAAACGGTCGTGTTCGAAGGCCGGTGAATCGTCCCAAACAGTGGCCAAGCCGGGATTGACGGCCGGGAAGGTTTTGCTGTGTGTTTTGCTGTGGGATTGGAAGGGAATTATCCACTATGAGCTACTCCCATATGGTCAGACGCTTAATTCTACCATCTACTGCGAGCAACTGGACCGCTTGAAGCAGGCGATCGACCAAAAGCGTCCAGAATTGGCCAACAGAAAGGGTGTAGTGTTCCACCAGGACAACGCCAGACCACACACTTCGTTGATGACTTGTCAGAAGCTACGGGAGCTCGGATGGGTGGTTTTATCGCATCCACCATATAGCCCGAACGTAGCGCCAAGTGATTACCACCTCTTCATGTCCAAGGCGAATGCCCTTGGTGGTGTGAAGTTGAACTCAAAAGAGGCTTGTGAAAAGTGGCTGTCCGAATTCTTCGCAAATAAGGAAGGGGGGCTTCCACGAGGAAGGTATTATGAAGTTGCCGTCTAGATGGAAACAGATCATCGAACAAAACTGCGCATATTATAACTAAATCCGATCATTGTAACACTTTTTATAAAGCATTGAATGAAGAACAAAAAAGCGGAAGGGAGATATTTGACTTATATAAACAGCTATTCACAGAAAATTTTTTAAAGTATTGTGTATTTTTTATTATTTTAATTCGTATTATTTTCATCTATACATGCAATAAATATGCTAATATTTAAATATAAGCCAACACGTGTTTAACATAATTCACTTCATACCTGTATTAAAAAAAAGTAGTAAAAATGTTAAAAATGTTTAAGAAATATCCCATCTTATTGTATATGCGAATACATACATACATATATGCGAATAACTCACATGCCAACCAGCAACAACAGCAACATCCATAAACTTAAATTTATGTATCTCTCACAATTGAACTCTCTAGAAAGAGCTATTAAATATTTATTGCCCACATCTACATACACACAAAGTGACAATTAAAAAATTTATATTTCATATGCGTATACAAATTGTGGGTAAAAGAATAAGCGAAATGCAATTTCGTTACTCAATTTAATTTACTTGTCCAAACCAGTCAATGCCTCCTCAATTAATTGGCGCGCTATTGCTGTGCTGCAGACACACAAGCCTAAGAAGATGAAGAAAATATGCAAATGCAAAGACATATGGCACATGTTGAAATTATCATAATGCTGAAAAAATCAACAAAAAAAAAATAGACAAAAAATAGAATAAGAAGAAATAAAAAACTTCAGCTGCTCCATATATCTTAGACGCAGTCATCTGATTGTATGTGCATGTGCTTATACTCACATTGATGCCGTGTTTACAAATAGTGAAATGAATACACGATTGACCAGTTAGCAAAACTGAACTTCAAAAATGGTTTCATTAATTTATTTGGTGAATTTTAACAAAAGGAAAAAAAAATCAACTGAGATGTTATTTATTAATCAATTAGGATTAAAATTAAGAATTATGATAGGGTTTTTTTTAGATATGTGGTTTCTAAGAAGACTAAATACGTATATAGTTTATTGTTATGGCCAAAAATTCAGCTTTACTATAAAGATAACCGTTGGCTGATCGTGATCGTCACGATTGGTTCGAATAAATTCAAGCCGAGAGGCTCAATTTTCGACGACTTTTTCCAACGCAATTGAGCAGCAATGTCAGCAATACTCACCACAACGAATATCCTCTTTCAAGGCGTCAATTGTCTCGTAGACAAGCGGCTTTACATAACTCAACATGCTAATGTTCAGCGTAGTTTAATCACATGTTCTTGAAGATCACGCAAAAGGCCCACGATATGAGAAAATATTTCCTTGAATAAATTGATGGTTTCGTTAAAATTTCGTCCACATTAACCTTTTACAGCAATTCTCATACACGAAAAGGTCAATCATCATGACTCTATAGCGACTTATGGCAACTGAATTTTGCCTACAGAGCACACCTAAAATTGACGGTTTTCAGGATGCAGCGGCATCTCAACAATGGCTTGTGAATTATCACACCAAATGCGGTATTTTTTTTTTTATTCAATATCGCACCCACTCAATCAAAAAGATGCTTCTTCGCTGAACAAAGTTTTCTTGTGAAAATCGGTATCCGAATTGAGTCCATGCGCCACACTTGATGTTCGTTTGCTTTTAATTCTTGCATACCATGGATTTTGTAACCCCAAAGAGCAAGATTCTTTCTTAAAATCTTTCATAAAGTAAACAATGGTAGCGCACGAATGCAGATGGACTCATGTGATTCTCCATCAATACTCAGCACCACAGCAGCTTCGGCGGGGCACATACTGCACAGCGACTCTGCGGATCTACTAGAGTAAACAAGGTGGGAAACCGATCCATGCTTGCAGACTCTGCTGAACGATTATGCCAACCGAATATTGGACGCAGCGTGTAATAGATCACGCGGATCAATATTTGGATAATAAATTAGCTCAATTGCATTGGTTCACTTCCCGGAGGGAGGAAGAGAGCACTACTTTTTGAATAGGCAAGTCACCGGTCCAATTCCTGGAGAGAAGTGTAGTCTTTCTGTCAATCTTAGCAAATATCCACCCATGTACCGAACCAAAAATAAACCTTTTTCGAACGTAAATAATTATTACTAACACGATCGTTTACGATCTATACGTTGATTGTGTTATTTGCTCAGAAATATTCAAATATGTACATATGTAAGCAGATATTTGCCGTATAAACAGAGCAGTAGCCTTAGGGTTCAACTGAATCATTCAGGAGCCGATTAGTTGATCACTTTTTTATGAGTTGTGACAATTGTCAATAAGAAGAATATACAGATACATATGTATATGTATATGGGTACATATAACATCTCAGTAATAGGTGAAGAGCCCATGCTTAATTACTAATATTCATAGCAAACATCTGTGCTCATTTGAACAGCCACAAATTTCCATTCATTCGAGGCATTTTAATTATTTCCCCTGAAATGAAAAATTAATTTTTGCAATTTTTGCAATTTAAATAAATTATGAAACGAAAGAAATGTATACACGGCTGAAAATGCTAAAAATAATATTTGTAGAAATATTTTAATTTTTATTTTTTAGTTTATATGAATTTATAATTCATTCATCTTGATAAAAATGTTTTCTTTTTCGTTTTCTTTCAGCAGAGAGTACAAAATTAACAATTGCCACAATTGAAGGCGGCAATGTGATCGCCAGCATGCCAGAGCCCGTTAAAGGCGCTGAGTATTTTGAAAGTGCTCTGGAGGCTACAAGTGAGTATGAAGAGATAGCTGAAAAGAAAGAATATGTTTTATTATGTATAAAAGAACTAAATATTGGATGAGTGCATAAGTATCGTTGGAAAGGTGGCTGTCCGAACTGTAAATCAAGCATAAAATAACTTCATTTTGATTTGAGTTGCTTAGTGAAAAGACGCATGGAAGATGGACAACGAAGACGCACAGTAAAGAAATGGTTCGCGAAATTTCGTTCTGGAGATTTTAACCTCGAAGATCAACCTCGCAGTGGACCGTATGTCAACAGCAATTTCTTTGCTTCGACGGATCAAAAACGAACCTTTTTTGGATCGGCTCGTGACTGGTGATGAAAAATGGATCCTGTACAACAATGTTCAACGCAAAAGAACATGGAAACAGGCACACGAAGGGGCGGAACCGATGTCGAAAGGTGGATTGCATCCGATGAAGGTACTGCTGTGCATTTGGTGGGATATCCGAGGCGTGATCTATTTTGAGCTCTTGCCAGCTGGAGAAACGATCACTGCCAACAAGTATTGTCAGCAATTGGTCGAATTGAAGAAAGCAATTGATGAAAAACGTCCGATTTTGGCCAATCGCAAAGGAGTTCTTTTCCATCATGACAACGCCAGGCCACATGTTGCAAAACCGACCCTGGCCAAACTGAAGGAGATGAATTGGGAAATCATGCCGCATCCCCCATATTCACCCGACATTGCACCTTCTGATTATCATTTGTTTCGATCGCTGCAGAACAATGTCAATGGAAAAAAAATTAAAAATTTTCCAACGAGAAACCGCGCGATTTCTATGAATGAGGCATCCGTAAATTTGAACGTTGGGAGTGGATTGCCGAACATGATAGCGAATACATAATTGATTAATAAAAGCGCTTTTTCAAAAAATTTCAATTTTTTAGTTTGCACTTGAAGTCGGGCTCGAACTTATGCACTCATTCAATATATATATTTTTTTAGATTATGAAAAGAGAAAATATTTTTTTGAAATAAAATATATACTAACTACATTATTATTTTTTATAAATAAATTACTTTACAGCTTTTGGCAAATTTAATTACATACTCATATTGGTGTCCGGTTTAATATTGGCCAATGTCTTACTCGAAACTTTGGGCATCAGTTTCGTTTTGCCTGTTTCACAATGCGATCTCAACTTGACCATACAGGAGCGTGGCATATTGAGCGCAATCGGTTTTGCTGGAATTATTAGCAGCTCACATCTTTGGGGATTCTTAGCCGATACAACAGGTCGTCGAAATGTTATACGACCAACATTGCTGTTGGGTTTTGTAGTAACGGTCGTCTCAAGTTTCGCTACAAGTTTCTGGTTAATGGTCATATTGCGTTATATCAATGGGTTTTGGTGAGTAAATATTTATATTTATATATAAAAAAACTAAAATTAAAAAAAATATAAATAAATTACACAGGCTCGTCGATGTCCCTTACATATCTCCGTTGGTTTTTTGTACTGCTAGCTGGAGCTTCGTTTTAGTGCGATCTAAAGATCTTAAATAGTCGTCTTTACTTCTACTGATGCCAAATCTGCTAGAACGGGCTGTCAGTAGGTTGTGGTCAGTCATTGGTCCAATAACTGTCGTGCAGTTCTTACGCTTCCGTGTGAACAAGAATTGAGTGTATCATTTGTTGCTCTTACACAAAAGTTTGATGGTTTTGCATATTGTTGATGCGCCCCATCTCACTCTGATCTGGCATTCCAATCTTTCTAAAATTTCATGATAAATAGTTTTTAACGAATTTTGTATATCGCATTTCTGATTCATTAGTAAGCTGGATAACTTATCAGCTATTTCATTCCTATAATGCCTTTTCGGTCTGGAACCCAGTATATATGCAGCCGTCTACCCTCGGCCTCCCTTTCTGATGCAATACGTTGTGAGATTATTGCCTTAATTGCCACCAGACTATCGGCGTATATGCTGATATTTTGTATATAATTATTTGCGTTGCTAACAATCTCAGCAGATTTTCCTATAGCGAAAACCGCCACCAGGAAAATTCGAGTAATGCAATACAATGAAAGCTTGAAGGGTTGCCTGTGGTGTATACTCCGGCGCTCACTACTTCAGCCATTTTTAAACCATCTGTTTGATTATTGTGCCATCCGCACTCCTTAAATCATCTAGAGTAATATCGTTTTAACTATCGCCGAGTAACACCAATGTCAAAGGGGTAAACCCCAACTGGTAGCCAGCATTTTTTTACAGCCGTATCTAGTGTGAAACTCGATTGATGGCTTCAATCGGTTGAGCCTCGGGAATTTCCATTCGGGGATTTAGAAAATTCTAGTGAACAGTAGCGCATCAGTTTCCTCATTTTACCTCAGAGTTGGCTGATATCGCCCATCGGTGTACGATCCCTAGAGCGTTTTTTCTATTCAATTACTCATAGTGTACAGGAATTTCCACGTAGCGATATCTTTCGTATAGAGTACTTTCCCTCCAATTTTTTCCGAAAGATTATTCGTTATGAGTATCCCCAGAAGTGGTGACAGACAAATGAAAAGTACCTTTATGCACTAGCCTGAGTAGTCTGGCTTCGTGGCATTTCGCGTTAATCTTCAGCAGCTCAGCTGACCTTTTATCAATAGTAGAATGGAAGATTCTACCCGGACTGTTCATAGGTTATTACCTCATAGGATACACTATTAAATGTACCACTTATGGATGCCAAGAAACGCTCCTAAAGTGTATTCTTATGCTCAATGAAGTGTATGCTGTCTCAGATGGAAAAATGTGGATTAAAAAATTGAAAACAAGATAAAAAAATTAAAAGAAAATATAATATTAAAATTATAAAAAATATAAAATATAAAATGCAACTGCACCCCTCGCAATTTATTTAAAATATTTTTCTGTTTGGTTATTATAATTCCATCAAAATAATTTTTAATTTTGAAAATTCCCTTTCACTCATTTCAGCATTTCCGGCGGTTCGGCAACAATTTATGCATTTCTGGGTGAATTTCACACAGCCAAGAATCGTTCACGCGCCATTATGGGTTCTGCTTTTATCTTTGGCGTTGGTTCTATGCTGATGCCTTGCATAGCCTGGTTGGTCATCAATCAGGAATGGCGTTTTGTGATACCCTACCTGGGCATAACCTACAAGCCATGGCGTTTCTTTATGGTGGTTTGCGGCATACCCGGCTTCCTGTGTGGCTTGGCCTTATTCAAAATACCAGAGAGTCCAAAATTTTTGCTGAGCCAAGGTAAAGACGAGAAGACGCTAGAAATATTGCAAATGATGTTTCATGTGAATACCTGTCGGCCGCATGATCAATATCCGGTAGGATAAGCTTTACTTATTTTCGAGAAAATTCAACTCAATACAATATATATTGCGCTTTTTTTTAGATATCCCATGTAGTTGAGGACATTGATAGTGCCATGAGTCCGAAAGTGAAGCGCGAGCGGATTTCAAATCCCGCCGTCGCACTTCTTCGCTCTATGTGGGACCAAACGCAACCGCTCTTCAATCGCGAGTACATGCGCACCACCATACTCATTTGCTCCATACAATTTTGGATCTTTGTCACTTCAAATGGCATGTACATGTGGTTTCCGCACATACTCAATAGTGTAGCTGAGTTTATGAATGAGAATCCCGGCAATCGTACTTATATGTGTCAGATCGTTTATAGCAAACAGCAGAGTATTTTTGATGCTGAGAATGCGCATGGCGCCGCCGTGAGTGATGGTGTAACGGAAACGGCAACACAATGCATAGAGAAGTTAGAAATATCCACCTATCAACACTCATTGGTTTTGGAGGTGCTCTATGCGGTGGGTTTTGCACTCATTGGAGGAATTATCAATAAAGTGGGCAAGCAGGTTATACTTTGTAAGTTTTACAACACGAGTTTTTTGTTTTTAGAAATTAAAATTTATATTATTATTATTATTTTTTTTCATTTATTTTGCAGTTGTCTGTCTAGTCGCCTGTGGTGCTTGTGGCATTGCCGCAACATATGCCGATATACCCATGGTCGCTATATATCTCTATGTTGTACTGTTGCTTTGCGGTTTGGGCATCAATGTCTTGAGCGCCGCCACCGTGGATCTGTACCCTACGAGATTGAGGTAATTGAATTATTTTCTAAATTCCAATTCGGTTTTTAAACATTTTTTTATATAATTTCTCCACAGAGCTATGGCCGTATGTATTTCTCTTATGATGGGTCGCTTGGGCAGTGTTGTGGGCGCCAACGTGTTTGGTGCGCTACTAAGCCATCACTGTGAGAGCGCCTTCATCGTTTCGGGCGTAACGTTGATTCTGAGTGGTTTCCTTGGATTTTTCGTTACAAAGAAGGGCAAACCAAGCGGGAAGTCAGGGGTATGGCGTCGCACAAGTCTAATCTCGATGACGGGGAACTAATTGACTACGAGTATGGCTCTTACAATGGAAAGCTTCCTGCAAATTTAGAATTTAACTTTCATTAGAAGTGTTTTATTTTTATTGCTTACTGGTTCGCCACGCACTTTTGCCCTTAAAAAGTCTGATTGTAAATTACAGATGACCTGATAGTTTTGTTAGCGCTGCAAGTATTATATATATATATGTATAATATATATGTTTGTACATAACTAAATGCTATGAGTTAGCACTTTTAGTAAGTAGATGAATACTTAGTTGTAAGAAATTGCTGTTTTAAAGCAATCGCAAGTTATTTTTGTATTTTATAAGAAATTTGTAATGAGAATTTAAATAAATTAATAAAAAAATATATAAACAAAAGTTGAAGTTATTTTGAGAAGCAGTGAAAGTCGAATAATGGAAATCAAAAAAAGCGCGATCTGTAGATATATATAATTGGAGCTTTGTAACCGCTGAAGCGATTTTCGGCCGACCTCTTCCTCCAATTTGTGGTTTTGCGTCTTGATGTTTTATATATATATACTAAGCCGCTTCTTTATGATGAGCTTTATTTTATGTCAGAAATACATTCGGAGGGGTTGACATTCCCCTCAAAGGGGCGACGGCAATTTGAAAATTTAACTTAATTTTTTATTTAAATTAATTTTCTATAACTTTTGGATGTTGGTCGCACAAAATCTCATGCAAATCACGTTTACCATCATCAATCTTGATACCCAGCATTCATTATTGGTTAATACGAGCGAATTGAGTGTACACGAAGACCGTGGAGAGACGATTCGGAGGCGTTCGGAGCAACTCGGACCGACTTGGCGCGTTCAACGTCGATATTTTAAATTAAAACCTTAAAAAATACAGTTTCGCGCTATGGGCTCTTGAAAAATTCCAAGAAGATCCCTCGTTTTCAAGCCAAATTTTGATCAGCGATGAGGCTCATTTCTAGCTCAATGAGTATGTAAAGATGCGAAATTGCCAAATTTAGGACGAAGAGCTACCTGCAGAGATTTAAAAGTCGACATTTCATCCAGAAAAAACAATGCTTCGGTGTAGTTTGTGGGCCGGTTGATGACGGCGGGACCGTTATCGCGCCATGATATACGACTATTTGATGCCCAAATTGAAGCTCGTGATCTGTATGCCACTTACCACAAATCGCGTCAAGCAATGGATTTATTGAGAGAACACTTCGGTGAACAGATAATTTCACGTTTGGTGCTGGTCCATTGGTCCCCATGATCGTATGTTTTCATACCGATAGCATTTTTCCTGTGGGGATATGTAAAGTATAAGGCCTATGCGGATAATCTGGCTTCGATTCACGCCTTGGAGCAAAACATCACGCGTATCATTTGTCAAATACAAGTCGAAATGCTCGAACGAGTCATCAACGGGTGTACCATCTGAGACGTAGCCGCGATCAACATTTGAAAGAGATAATCTTCAAAAAAAGAATGCCAAGAATGTTTTTTCGAATGATAATAAGCATTCCCCACTAAATTTGAATTTTCAGTGTTTTTTTCTTAAAAAAAAAACTAGAGAACCTCGAAACGAATCACCCTTTAGAAGTGCCACTACAAGTACGTGAGAAAAGGGAAGTCGGCAATAAACGAATTCCTAATGGAAAACGCGGGGAACATCCTTTGGGATACTGGTCACATGAATGTAGAAGGTAGAGAGAATGTGGATGACCTGGCACGTGTTGGCGAGACTATCATCAACGGCTGCCTTAAACCATGGAGTAATGTTTGAGATTTTGGAACTCTTCCAAACGTGATTATTAAATAAATTGAATTACTCAGAAAGGAATTAAATACCTATCTTGAGTTATCAGCTCTATAAGTTAGGTAAGGTGAAGTCGGCTGAGTGCAGAGCATGCTCTCATGATGAAGAAAGATTAAAGTATTACCTTGGCGAATGTTTGTCATTCAACCGATTAGATCACATAGATTTGCCTCCGTGGTTTAAAGAAATGAACGCACTGTTTGCAAATGCCTGGGTTACTTGGAGAAACATATTAAGCCTACCCAATGCTCAACCTTCACTTCCAATTAACCAACAAACTAACATACGAAGCAGTTGTTTAAAACCTATGGGCGCTGAAAGGTGGAAAATACGTACAAAATTTATCTATAGATACATCAAATCTCTTCAAATACGGTTTTCAAATTTATTTGCAAACTCTTTTGTTTCCTTTTTTTAACTGAGTACGAAAAATTGCATTTTTTTACAAATTATTTCTATTTCACAACTTCAAAAAATTGATCTAGAAAATATTATCCTAAGTTTTCCAGTCGATCCGAATAAAAGTTTCGTAGACACAGTCAAGGCAGGCAGGCTCAGCGTTTTAAATATTAAACGCGTTTAACTTGAAACTGTGTTTCCAAAGTCGATTGTCAAAAGATTTCAATAACTCCTCAACCGATCTCGTAGATAGTTTACACATATTTTTCATTAATTTCATTTCATTAATAAAAATGTTGAGCATATTTTACTAAAATTTGATTTTTTTAGAAAAGAAAAATTTCATATAACAAATTTTCTCCTTTCGATTTTGCTTTATGCAAGTCTAGCGTTTGTGGTATGATTTTAATTAAAAAAAGTTGTCATGAGTTCTACTGTCAACGCAGACACATCATTTTTCACAGTGGTTACCGGAAATGACGTCACATTGGAGGAGTTAAGCATATTTTTGCTTTGAAACTTTATTTTATGCTAAGACAGTAAATAGTTTGAATAAAATATTTTTGATTTCTATATAGAAAAGATGAAGAAAATAATAAAAAATTCTTTTACCTCGAATAAACCCTTGTTGCCACTTAAGCAATACATTATATTATACATTATTCATATATAAATGTCTTCCAATGAACACTCTATAATTTTTGCTATTAACAATTTTTTTTTCATCTGACTCATCCTGTTAATTCAACTTTAAGCTTGTGTCCTCGCTAAAAAGTAAAAATATTATTTTCTGAGCTATTTCTTAATGTAAAAAATAGTTAGTAGCAACGGCAAAGGAAATTTCGTAGAGTAAAAATAAAGACGTTTAAAATTATATATATGTAATGACCTAAAATTTTCAATCATGTTGAAGTTAAAAAATTAATATAGGAACGTTTCCATCATGTCTTTATATATTTAACTTTATTTTTAGTATTGTGTACCTGCAAAATTACAAATTTATTCTTATGAAAGTGATTTTGTATATAAAAACTTATAAATATATTAAAAACCTCTTTATAATAAATCTCTATTCTACAAAATTAAGAAAACAAAAGGATAACAATTCTATCACCGCCTGTGAGTATGCTAAATATTTTGTGAATCAGCTTAATGATCACTGCCCTACATTTTATTTTCTAAGAATAACCAAACAAATTTGCTTTTCACTTGTCAAGTTTGCGATCTAAATGTAAAATATAATATAATGAATATATAAAAAAAAGATAAAACAATTAAGAACTAAGTACAATACAAAAAAGTATTGAAAACTAAAATACATAAAATTAAATTTAATAAAATAAACCAAAAAAAATATATGAAAAATAAAAAAGTAAAAAAAAATAATATTAAATAAAAGAGAAAAAAAAATCAAATAAAATAAAATAAATAAGACAAATTACAAAAAAAAAAAATAAACCAAAAAATAATAAAGTAAAGTAAACTTAAATAAAATAAATTAAAACGAAATAAAATTGATTTAAATTATGTAAAATAAATTAAATAATTAAAAAAGTTAAAATAAAATAAAGAAATGAAGTAAAATAAACCAAAATAAAATATAATACACTTAAATAAAATAAAACAAAGTAAAACTAACTTAAATTATATAAAATAAATTAAAAATACCAGGTGTAAACCTTTGATTCCGCCGTTTTTTTTTTCCAAAATTAAAAGCTTTATTGCGAAAAAGTGCTTACAGATATTGTAAATTATTCAAAGTATTGTCCTTTGCTAGCGACAACTTTCTCCTTTCTCCCATCTTCCCGGCAATTTACGGATCCCGGCTCGAAAAAAGGAGTCCTTTTTTACGCTATCTATGAAACAATCCATTTTTCCAATTCTTCGAAGGATTGAAAATGTTGATCTGCCAGGCCGTGTGCCATCGAGCGGAATAGGTGAAAGTCAGAAGGGGCGTCATCTGGGGAATACGGCGGGTGGGGCAAGACTTCCCACTTCAGCGTTTCCAGGTACTTTTTGACCACTTTTGCGACATGAGGTCGAGCATTGTCGTGTTGGAGGATGATTTTGTCATGCCGCTCTTGATATTGTGGCCGCTTTTCTTTTAGCGCGCGATAATGCACATCAGTTGCGTTCGGTAGCGTTCTCCTACGATGGTTTCACCCAGTTTTAAGAGCTCGTAGTAAATCACACCGAGCTGATCCCACCAAATACAAATCATGACCTTGGCGCCGTGAATATTCGTTTTGCCTTCGACGAAGAAGCATGCCCGGACTTTCCCCATGATTTACTGCGTTTAGGATCATTATCAATACGCTTCAGCTGCATTTTTTTCGAATTGTAACAGAAAAGTAAAACTTCCCGCAAATGGCGAGAATTAGGCACATAAACGGACATTTTCGAGCGTGAATAATACGAAAACAAGAATAACTGTCACTGAAACGGTGATGACCATTCGTTAGGCACTGTCCACATTCACTTTAAAGGCATTATCATCTATGTATTTCAACCAGCCTCAGCCGGTACAGCCACCTATCGGAAAACGGCGGAAGCAAAGTTGTACACCTGATATAACAAAATAAAATAAAACGAATAATAAAAAGAAATAACATAAAAAAGGAAAGAAGAAATATAAAGTAGAATAAAAAGAGATAAAATAAAATAAAACAAAATGAAATGCAATATTTAATAGCCTTGTGCATAAAGTTTTTTTATGAACTTTTATGAGCAACTAAAATAATTAATTAGTTATAAATTTAGCTAAGCACTAACTGTACTTTTTTGAATAGTAATACACTCTTTTAATGATAATTTTTTTTTTTTTTATAAAATCTGTCGTTACAGTCGCTTCGCGTGTAGACAATATACAGAGTACTGAAAAAGAAAACCGGCGTAAGCCGGTAAAGACTAATTCGTTTGTACATACATAAATACATGAGCACTCATATATGTACATATACACAAAGGTACGAATGATCGTATGTATTCTCAGAATTTCGCAATGCTTGTGGCATAGACGCTTACAGCGTTGGACGGCCATATAAACGAACAGTAATATTTATGAAAAGTCAAAGCCAAACAGTATCGGTCGTTGCATACACTCTCACGCAAACTTGTTTACACATACATACATAACTCTGCAATGTAAACAAACTGCGATGCTTGTAGTGAGTCGCGTTAATAAATTGAAAACTGATAAGCGTCGACTGCGTCGCCGTTAACGCCGACAAAGTCAGTACATATTTTTTTGCCTTCGACTCGTAAGTGGTAAATTTAATTGGCACAGCGTTGGCGTGCATTTGTCGTGCAGTAATCAACACAGCAGCTGCTGCTATTTATATTCGCGACTGTAAAAATATGGAAATAAAATTATACGCACGTGCTTGGGAGATTTTAAGGGAGTTAGAAAATCGATGTAAACTGAATATATATATATTATATATAAAAATTTGAAATATTTAATTTTAATGCTTAATAAATGTTTATATTATTTTGACTTTTTTAAAAGTAAGAGATTTGGTTAAAATTTAAAAATCTTAGGATTAATTTTTTTTAACAATGTTTATCGCTTACCTGTTTTATTCTTTTTGTTTGAGGTTAAAATCATTTTCCGAGTGTTTTTGAACACCTTCTTCTGTCGACTGACGCGCCAGCACATATCAATAAGCAAACTTATATAAGTATGTAAATAAATATGTATACACACTTGTTTAAGTTTATGCTGGCATGCCGTAAGTAATTACAACGCGAATGATGAACTTAATTGTCCTCAATTGTTTTCTTAAATTATTTCTCATTGATCGTGTTTATACTTTTAAATGGCATGAAATAAATATATTCAATTGTACATTATATACAAGTAAAAGGTAACCTTAATGTATTTCTAGAGCACCATAATGGTTGGCAGAATTAGCAATGCACTACATTTATGTTTGTATGTGTTTCTCGAGCCTACGGTGCGTATGAGTGACTTTTTTCAGTAAATATTGTAGTTCATCACAGAAATTTAGCTTTAAGCATCCCAAATGAAGAAATAAAAATATATATTTTTTATAAATGAGTTAAAAGTTTCGTTGAATTAAAAACTTAGCAAAAGTATTAAAAATTTTATTTTCATTGTTAACACAATAAAATCAAGTCTCAGCATTGTATATATATATAATATTTACTACAAAAACGCTGGAGATTAACTAACATTTTTAATTTTTCAAATAAGCATGAATAAAAAATTGTAAACAAGAATTCTAAAAATACACTCCGACAATCCTTGAAACTGTTAATGTTTATTTGAAGGAAAAAAAAAACAGTTGACACGAAATTAACGCCGCTAAAGAGAATATTCTAATCGTGTTGTTTTATGGAGTTGGTTAAAATAATAAAATTTTTAATTATCTCATCGATTCCTCGAGAATATTATCCCAGATTTTCAAGTAGATCTGAATAAAAGTTTCGGGGGTACAGCTTTTGGGAAAATGTTTGCTCAAAGCCTCAGCGCTTTAAACTTTAGACGATTTTTTCTTGAAACTATGGTTTTAAAGTCGTTTGTCAAACGTTCTCGGAAACTACTCCACCCAACTTATGAAATTATACACAGGTCTTTGAGGCAGTATTTAAGAGAAATTCAACAAAGGATTGTTTTTGTTTTTCCAATCACAAATATTTCAGAAAAAATTTTGAGCGAATTTGCCATAATTTATATTTTATTAAAAAAAATAATTGGCCGAAAATATTGTACATTTTTATATCCTTTTTTTTCGGTCAAATTATAGTTTCTGGTATAATTTTTTTTTTCAATTCGAATGATTCTGTATTGACTTCTACTATTATTGGAGACAAACCATATTCCCGAGGGTCAACAGAAATGACGTTACAATGGTGGAGTTATGAATATTTTCCTTTGAAAATTTCTCCTGTGAAAATTTCTGAACTTATTTATCAAATTTATATCTTTTTTAAACGATTAATAGTTTGAATTAAATATTTTATTTTTAATGAGAAATATGAAAAACATATGCGCCTCTGGATTCTTACAGACTTTTCCTATATCTTTGGATTTTGGCTTGGCCAAGATTCGACCTTTAAGCATAGTAGCATGTCTACCCACTCGGCTACGCTGGTCTCCTGCTAAAACTTAAACCATAATGATAAATTTGATAATTTCGACTTAAGACTAGTGTTTTCAACTTCGGCTTCCTACAACTATGTTGTTACCAATGGTAGTTAAAATCCAACATCATCATGTTAGCAATCGGAATTTTTAACATGGAAATGCGCTACGTTTTGTATTTTGTTCGTTTATGCATCAGTTTTATACTAGTTAAATACCAGTTCATTACGTAGACACGTTGAATTTCACAATTTATTACAAAATTTCACACGCTACGCCGACAACCTCCAATCACTCCGCTCTTACGACGGTGCTGCGACTTACTGCGAACTTCAACGGAGCATACCCGAAGTTAAAACTCACCCGTGGCATGTTAAAATAACAAGAACATATGACTGTAGTGGTGGTGCAATCCTTAATATAAAATAATAGAATTTAATTGTAATTTTTCCAAATTAGTCTGCCTCTTCTCAGCAGGGTATCTGCCTTCTTTATATGTTTTTTATGTATTACTATTAATGGGATAAGTATATATGTAAGTACACATCGTAACTGTTTCTAATTTGTCAATTACAGCTTTTCAAGAATGTCACTCCAGTTCTGCTTTTACAGCACTATAATAAGGGAAGTTAAGTCAATCAACTTGGCTACAATGGCATTGACGGCATTCTTGTAAAATCATATTGAATTCAACAGCAAAGTAAAAAAAGTGAAACAATTATTTTTCAAGTACAGCAACATGTAAACTGAGTTAATAACTGTTGTTGAAAGGTGCTTAATGAATTTTAAAATGCATTTAAAGAGTTGTTAGGTTTTTATATGAGACTTCTTTGTGAGCAATATAGGGAATATTACATTTACATATTTCATATAGAAATTGGGAAAAAAACTATCGCCTAATATACATACATATATACATAGTTCTTCGTTCTTGATGACTAACGGATCAATGCATAACCTAAGCCGCCGATCGTGAAGTCTTGAAACTTGGAAAGAGGGTGTATGATCTGTTAAAAATAGTATTGATCAAGTTTCATATTTGAGAGAAATCTGTTTCTCTCATGGTCAGTTGTGTGTGGCATGCCTCGGAGTTATTTAAAAAAAATAGGAAATTATTTGGGACTTTTTATCTATTAATTGTGATCGCAATAGCCTACCGAGTGGTTAGCTTTGCATACTGCCATTCTGTAGTCTAGGGTTCGTTCAACATCCTAAATTATAGGAAATTAATTTTTCTAATTACTTCCGAGAAGTGGAACAAATTCCGCTCTATTCTTTAATATGTGGAACATATGTAGTCCTTTGCGCATATATGTATAATAAACAATTTGTAACCGCTGGAGGGACCTACAGTTTATACTAAGCCTTTCCCAACAGTCGATTGATTTTTATGAGAAGGTTTTTATTCATATACGAATTAAACTCAGAGACATGACCTGCCGAGGGGCGACCGCAGTTAGAAAATTAAATATCCGATTTGATTCTGAATGTTGGTCGAACCACTCTACTACTAACACTATATTGTGATGCAGCTGGTACTGTATTTTTATGTATGCACAACTATGTGCAATGTTGATTTTTTTTTTATTTATTATATATTTTATGTTAGTGTTGATTAACTCATAAAATGTTTGGAAATGACAGTAACGTTAGTTAAACCTTTAAACGATTATTAAAATGCAATAATTTATCAAAATAATAAACATGTTTAATTTATTTATTTTCACTTGGAAAAGCACTAAAATTAAGAGAATTCAATCATGGCTTGACAATTTGGTTTTAATATATTTCTTTTCGTTTTTGTTAAACTCATTCTCACCGCTAATTCAATTTACTTTTGTATACAATTACACATAGACTTACATATTTATTACGTGTAAATCAAGTAAATACAAATAAATAAACATAAATGAATAAAAAGCACGTGCACAGCCAACTTATCAAAAGTTCAGCTACACTGTGTTGCGTTATATTAACATGAACGCCATCGTCACCATCGCCAACAGAGCCGACAACATTGACTGCAGCCGCAGCAGTTTGCAAGAAACAGGAAATTTCGTATTAATTTTGTGAGTGCTGCAGAGAGCAAAGCAGAGCACAGCGCGGCGCATCAACGAACTAACAGCTGACTTTGGCTCTCGTCAAAAACAACCGATTAGTACACCATTCAACGATTTGCAACCGTCACCACCAATCCAACGAATTCAACAAAAAATAAAATCTTAGAACTTTGCCGCCGCAGTTACGGTTGAGTTGGCAGAGTGTGCTTGGTAAATTTTGAGGTAAAAGAGTGCATTATTATACTCGTACTTTTGGGTGCATAAAAATATTGTACGTAAAAACGCTGACAGCGAAAAAAAATTTCTCCACCACTAGCTGTTGCTTACATGTCATCGGTGTGGCTTTCCTTGCTGCTACACGATTGTTAAGCAGAAATTGCGAGTACGAATGCTTATTGTTTAGGCAACGATTTTTTTTCGTAATTTTATATTGTATATTAAGACCGAACATTCGTTGCATTGCTCAGTCAATTTCGCAGAGGCCAACGGTGAGCATCGAAGTGTGTAATAACAACAAAGCACCGGCCAAAGTGTGGTCATCACTGTCTTCGCTTTCGCTAAATAGTATTAATAAGCGGTTAGCCTACGGGTGCACAAAACACTGCCAGTGCTAGCAGGTAGCGGGTGTACAATATAAACATTAACTAAATTTTATTTACTCTTTGTGATATACATACATACATATAGAATACAAGAATGTTATATAAAACACAAGGAGAAGAAAAAATAACTGTGCTATTAGTGTAAAATAGTTTGCGCAAAATAAATTCTCGTGTTTTGTTACTTTGTAATAATAAATTTATTTCACTCAGCTTTTTACGTGCTGATGTTAAGAGATTCACTGCCACCAAAATAAAGGAACAAAAATCAAAAAGAATCGTGTAAATCCCAATTTAAAAAGAAAACCAGGTGAAATCTTCTTAAACGTTGAAGAATTTATAACGGAAACAACAGTGTGATATATGTAAAAATATTAAGTAGTAAAATAAATGGAATGAAGCTTTGATAGTAATTTGTAGACATTATTAAACTTAAAATTTTATTAAAATTTAATTAATTGAAAAGAAACAAATAAAAAAAAGTGTTTATCTCTGTTTGGTTGACACAAAGAAATTAAATAACATGGAGATGCGTTCGAAACTTGGCAGCTTCGAGTTGAAAGATTGCAGTGCTGAAAGCGCCGCTGAGCGTTGTAAGTAATTAACTTAAGAAATTAACTTTTCAATCATTTTCATAGCTTCATTCTCATAAAGATAATAATTGCCAGAAACCGCATTGACGTTTATTTGTATTTTAATTGTGAAATATATATTTATATAAGTATATATGTAATTGGGTAATTATTTTACGTACCCACATATGTACATATCTATAAACAAATGACATTGAATAAATATATATGTATATATATATTATATATATAAATATTTTAATACGAATGCATTCTTTTTTAGTCTCCCAACACGGAAGTGTTTTGGCAAGCATTAAGTTCTTCATTTTCCATCGTATTTACATAAGTTGATTACTTACATATATACATCGCTTTTTCTATATTTTATTATTACTAACTTAAAAGTAAACAAATAAGTCAAAGGATAATCAGATATTCCTAGTTTTTAAAATATTATAATAATAAAATATAGGTATATTTAAAATTAAGTAAAACACAAAATAGAATGAAAAAAAATAAAATAAAATTTTATTAAAAAAGTATAATAAAATACAATAAAATAAAGTAACAGAAAATAAAAAACAATAAAGTAAAATAAAATAAACCAAATAGGATAAAAAAAACAAATTAATTAATTAAAAATATAAATTACGACGAAAATATGAAATAAAATAAAATAAAATAAAGTAAAATGAATAAAATAAAAAAAATTAAATTAAATGAAATAAAATAACATAAAATAAAATAAAATAAAAAATATAGAATAAATTAAATTAAAAACTACAAAAACAAAATAAAATCAAATAAATTAAAATAAAAAAAAACCAAACAAAAATATATAAAAAAATAAATAAATAATATGCAATAAGATAAAGTAAAGTAAAGCAAATTAATATAAAATAAATTTTATATTTCTTTTTTTCTTTTATTTTATTTCATGTTATTTGACTCTATTTAGTTTTATTCTATATATTTTTTAGTTTATATAAAGAAAAATAGAAAAAAAAATTTATGTTTTTTTATTTTATTTCATGTTATTTGACTTTATTTAGTTTTATTCTATATTTTTTATTTTATATAAAGAAAAATATAAAATCACAATCAAATATTAGAAAAAAAATTAAAAAAGATAAAATAAAAATAACATGAAATAAAATAATTAAAGTAAAATAAAATATATAGAAAAACAAAATAAAATAAATAAAAATAATGAAATAAAAATAAAATAAAATAAATTAAAATAAAATGAATAAAAAAATAAAAAACAAAAAAAAAACTGAAATAAATAGGATAACAAAATAAAATTAAAAAAATAAAAATGGCATAAATGGCATATAATAAAATAAAATTAATTTAGTTTAAATTAAATAAAATAATGTAGAAAAAAATCAAATACTACATTAACAAAATAAAATCAGTTGAGCCAAAATATAATAAGCTAACATAAAATAAAATAAACTAAAACAAAATAAATAGAAAAACAAAATAAAATCAAAACGATATAAACAAATCAAAATCAAATAAATTAACAAACAACATTTTTCTTTTTTCAAATCTTTTCCGTCTTATCAGTTTTATTCTTCAACACATAGAAATTATAATTAACACAATAGATTAAAATATATTTTCAACTAAGCATAGCTTTATTGGAGCTTTTTTTGGTAAACATTGCTGGGGAATTTTGAATTGGAAAACCCAATGCAAACGGCAGCATTTTGACCATAAAACACTTAAAATAAGTGGTTAGTTATTAAATTGGATATTTTAGATAGCGAATTTCATTGCCAGTGCAAGTAAGTATTCCGATTTCTTCACAGCAGGAAAACTCGGAGTATATTTATTTAGAATTAAGTATCTTATTACCTTATGTGTTGATATTTCACAGTATTGACCTATAACTTAAGCATATGAAAATGCAAAATGAATTCTATTAATTTCAATTAGTAGATATATATTAATAGAACTGATAAAAATAATTAAATAAGAAATGATATAAAGTAAAAATATCCACATATACCTAAGCGAAAAATCTCAAAAACATATGCAAAATAAAACAAACCATAAAAAACGCTACGATTGCAGCAAAACGACGATTGTTTTACTTAATATTATTGGAAACATCAATGGAAGTATGTAAAATTTCGTCTGTAAATCGAGGTGAAAAAACAAAAAAAAATATTTAAATGAATAAGTCACAGTGTTTTTTTTTTGTTTGTTTTCAGCTTGGGATTTGAGGGTAAGGGTGCAGGTAATAAACCTGCGAACAGATATATGTACATTTGTTCGTGTATTTAGCACAATATCATCAACAGTCATAAATATTTTTCTACGTGAAATATTATTATTTTTCAATTTAGCTGAGCTAACATTTTTTTTGTTACTTTTTTTTTGCAAAGAATGTCAATGTACTTCACGCTTCTAGAAATGCCAATTTATATGCATAAATTGCAATTTAAATTTAATTTACCGTAAAATTGGTTCCTGCTTTATTTATGCGCACAATTAAAAGTGCAAGCTAACGGTTTTACGGGGAATTTATAAAATCGTGTCCAACGCCGGAATGCATACATATACAAACGACTCACTTAATTCTGACAAATTAAATGACTCCACTCATTAACACGTTTATCAAATGCCGCTGTATACTTGTTTCGCTATAATTAATTATGGTGAAAAATCATTGACATTTTTAACATTTTCCATTTAAGGAATTAATTGTTAGGCGTTGAAATTTCAAATATGTGGAGCACCCTGCAATAGCCATGACGGCATATTTGCACAACATTGAATAGTGATTTTGTGCTTATATTTTGTAAGTGACACATGCGTGATATATGCATGTACACAAGTACGAGTATATATGTATGTATGTAAATAAATATGTGGCGATGCCTTCTTCTTTTTAGTATATCATATGTAATCATTTATACATACTAACTGTTTATTTCGCAATGTCAGACGTTGTCCCAGGTCAAGGCAGTCTGGCGGCAGCTACAGCCAACCCCTTTTGTTACATTAGTATGAGTAAGTTTCTATGTATATTTATATATATACACATGTGCTATTGAATTCCCTTATTTTCTCGCGCTCATACCACGTGCTTAGATGCATAAAGCTTTGCATATATATGTATGAATATATATGTGTTTGCAGTCATTGCTCTCAGTAATTTTGTTTTTGTGTATGTAAGTTTGAATGTGGGTAAGCAATTTTTATTCACCGCCAAATTATAAACTGCGAAAATTCTACCCATGTTTTGTTTACAATATTAAAATCTTATATGAATACATACGGACATATTATTATTTTTCATTATATGTACATATATGCTGCTCTGTGTCTTTGTTTGTGGTAAATATTATTGTGTTTTGGCACATAGCCGGTTTGTACGAGCTTCAAGCGGTATCGTTGTCTCGAAAGGAGACGGTGACTGAAGTGTACATTTTGCTAAGGGAAACAAAAGAAAAAAATTTATTGCATTGCAGAAAATACGCGTGACAGAAATATTTTTTAACTACAGGTTCCATATTTTACGGTTGAATTGTTTAGCGAAACATTTTCTAAATAATCGAAGTAATATATATACTAAAAAAAAATAAATATCATGAAAATAAAATAAATTAAAACAAAATTTAATACGTAAAAATATAATACTCGGAAATAATTACAAAAAATAAAACAAAATAAAATAAAATAAAATAAAATAAAATAAAAAAAATTAAATTAAATAAAAGAAAAAAAGGAAATAATATAAAATGTAATGGAATTAAATAAATTAATATAAAAATAAAGGAAATGAAATATAAGAAAATTAAATAAAAACTAAATTTAATTAAATTTAATTGAAATAAAGGAAATGAAGTGAAGTAAAATGTAAGCAAATAAAATTAAACTAAATTAACTAAAATCAAATGACTTGTAATGAAATAAGATAAAAGAAGTTAGGTTCAAAAAATTAAAATAAAATGAGATTTTTAATTATTTCGACGTGCTGCCATTCGGAAATTATGATTTCTTGTTCTTCGACTATCATCTAAAAATTATAATTATTTAATTTAAATAAAAAATTTAGTCAATTGTGTTCAGTTATGGTCGACCTCGGCAGAGTATGCTAAATATAAGTTTAAGATTTAAAGTTTTTTCATAAGTGCAGCTAACAAAATATTTTTCGTTGAATTTCATTAACACTTACTTACGCCTTGCTTACATACTCATAACTATGCTTGCACCATGGATCGTACTATTCGAAACTTGGAAAATTGTACAGTAGCAGATAGTTTCTATAATTGTGTATTGCTTATAAAAAAGTCTGTCTCTTATCAAATATATGTACATATATACACAGCAATAGTTGTGCTTGTTGCTAGCTTATTGAATCAGTAACGATTGTAAAATGAAATAAAATACATACATAAGCGTACGACACAAAATGTTTATACATAGTGTACACAAAGTCGCTCCCATTGCTGACTTCAAAATGAATGCGTTTTTTTTTTCAAGCGTAACTGATAACACATTTCAAAGTACATACCAACAGATTCAGTTTATACGCATGTAATAAGTGATGAAAAGGAACGCATATTTGCAATACATAATGGCTACTACAATATATTCTCAAATTTTATATAATACACTATATACAGTATTATAATAACAACCTCTATACGTGAAATAAATACGTGTATGTTTGTATGTATGTCCAAATTGCGTTTAAAAAAATGACAAATTTCCATTGAAAATAAATTACAAATAATGAGCTAGTATAATTTTCTAAAAAAACTGCAGCAACAAAAATAACTGAAAAGAGTATTGAATACATACAGAAATCCAAACACGAAAAAACCAGAAATAACTGTCGGACTACGTCACTAAATATTCAAATATATGTATATACGTGTACGAAAACGAAATTGTTTATTTATAAATATGTACTTGTGCGTAAATATTGTGCTCTACTCTCGATTCTTTCTCTTTGGAGAACAAAACATTATTGCTCGTGTTTACGCCAAACCTTCTTCTTC